AAGTACCTAAAGTCTATTCAGCGTAAGAAAGTGATTATGACACTTCTATTTAGTGAGGCGCTTCTTTTAAACCTAATCGATATTTTTTTTAGAATCGAGAATATTTTCTTAAGAAATCTAAACGACTTTTTATTTGTTTGATTTTTAATTTTATCTACGATAAATCAAAATTATATTTACGAATTTTAATTATCTGGATATGGAATAAACGTTGTTACATAATAAATCACAAAGAATTAAATATTATGCATTTTATTCAATAAAAAATTTTATAAAAAAAAAATAAAACCGACTCCAAAAAACCTACACTAAAACGTAGAAAAATAATTACTAATTACCTACTTATTTATTAGGACGAATTATTAATATTTATGTAGGTATACCATGATTGATACTTCTGGAGTCGGTGCCAAGATTATGAAACATGTAAAGTTTGCCTGCACCGACTCCAAAAGTATCAATCATGGTATACCTACATAAATATTAATAATTCGTCCTAATAAATAAGTAGGTAATTAGTAATTATTTTTCTACGTTTTAGTGTAGGTTTTTTGGAGTCGGTTTTTTTTGTGGCGTCGAACCTTGGACCAGGCATATGGCTAAGCAATGAAATCGTACAGGAGGGTACAAGGAAGAGGGGCAGCCACATTAGGTAACACAGAGTCGTTCAGGAGAGTGCCAGGAAGAGGTGCAGCAACCGCAGTTAAGGAACGGCTGGGACGAACAAGGATAAGCGAATCAAACTCGTGAGCCTTGTTACAACTGGTTACACTGGTTAAGGCGACCCTTTACAAGGCTTGGAAGCATGTGGGTATCAAGCCATTGGACGTGGAGAGGGTCATTAATTATACGTATATTTTCTACTTTGCCGAACTTTAGCGCGAGAACGGTTTGTCCAAAACATATGAATTTGGTCTTATTCATTGCAGGATTAAGTGCCCTTTAACCGTCATGAAGACCACTTTTCGATAGGGTAAGTCCTTTACGCGGTATAACCGGAAAACCGAAAAAACGCCCCTTTCGGGGGCCCCCACCACTTAAGCACAACTCCGTCGAAGTCGAAAACTTAGGAGAGTCTTAATGGGCAACCAATGAAGCCATTAAAGCAAAAAAATCTTTTGTAGGAATTATTTCCGATTTAATCAATTTTTGTGTTTAATTCTACTGGCCTACAAATAACAATGACAAACAACTCGTGGAGCAATCGCGTAAAACACAACCGGCCATATAAGGCAAACGCACACGTACTGACTGAACTTTGACCTTCCTGAGAGAATAATTGGGATTCGATGGTGAGATGACCACCATACCGATTATTGATTGGTTGCGATTGTTCTTGTCCATCCCTATGAGCAAAAGTTCCGATTAACGCATTATGTTTCATATAATATTTTTTCACAAATTTTAATAAATAATAAACTAATAAGTATTTGTAATTCTTGTTTAGGTTAATTGAGAAAGATCATTAATTGTATTTTGAAAGGATAAAGTCACAAAAAAGTAATGAATTTTTATACCTCAATATTTTTATTCTTAGGAAGTTGGATTCATGAAACGAAATGTTTCATCTGTCTAAATCACCATCATAATGAACTATAGTCTGCAGTGGAAAAGAGGAACAATGTGATAGTAATAGACTTTAACCCTTGAAATTACCAATGATCTTGAGTTTTTAAGTTCAGTTTTTAAAAGGATTTCTTATAAGTCTTGTTAACCCTTCTTGGTAAACAAAATATTATTGATTGTTACGAGTGGGTTTACCACAATTTTAATAGCTTTTTCTTAAAGTTTTCTAATACTCGTAGAAGGTTCTCAGGAAAAGAAAAATAAAGAAAATTGGATAATTTTAGAGAACATAGCTACTCACTCATACAAAGTCGCGGGGACAGGTTAGGCACGTATCTAATAATCTATAATGTATTTTTTTTCTAACTAGAGTTTTAAAAATTATTTTAACGTCGTCACTGAACGACTTGTTTTTGAAGAACTAGAGTTTTTAACTTCAAAAACAGTTCATTTTAAGTGGCGTGTCTAGAGTTAAAGTTTTTATTTAATTTTAATACCTTTCATAGGCCTTTACTCAAACCAATTTCCTTAGAATATGACAATAGTATTTGAGCAGCCCACTATATATTTAGGTTTAGTGTAAACACAGCTGTATCAGAATTATTGTGATTATAATGCTGTCTAAGTTATTACGGCATCGTGCCTTTATGTAAAAAAAGACTTGTTGATGTCATTTTAATTTTCGTAAGAATTTTGTTTTAGGAAATTCATAAATGATTAGTAAACTAACGTTGATTAACATTTTAATATTCATTAGCTTTCTCCACTTCTTCCACGTGAATATGAAAGGTTGTCATAGAAAGACGTTCTTACGAGCGTTCCAAAAACCGGGATAAGTTTTTTCCTTAATAAAAAGACAGTCCTATTTGGCGATAGCATAGTTTTCCCTAATCTAAGTATACTTATTAATAAATCTGTAGAGAGGTCAATTCTGTACATGAAATATATTTTCAAAATAACTATCAGGGGGTGATTAGTGATTGATACAGATGCCAAAAATGCAATCAGTAAAATTTTTGTCTGTCTGTCTGTCTGTCTGTCTGTATGTTCCTTATAGAAATAAAAACTACTCGACGGATTTTAACGAAACTTGGTACAATTATTCTTCATACTCCTGGGCAGGTTATTGTTTACTTAGGGATTCCCACGGGAACGGGAATTAGCGGGAAAATCCTTTTGTATGAAAAATCTAAACCGCTTAAGTTAGACGCTTGAAATTTGGCATGCAGGTATCTTAGTAAACTTAAAGCTAAGTACAACAGGATATTGCAAAATTCTCACGGGAACGGGAGCTAGCGCGAAAAAACATTTGTATGAAAAAATCTAAACCGCGTAATATAGATGAAGGGGTTAAAACGCGTACGAAGTCGCGGGCGGCCGCTAGTTAATAATAAAATCAATGCACTTTATTAGCAATCAAAATCTGTTGGTGAAAACCGCATGAAAATTCGTTCAGTATTTTTGAGTTTATCGCGTCGCGAATAGACATGTTATCGAATACTAAAGGTAATCCATATTCATGTTGATTTAAATGCACTAATGAGGAAACGTTGGAGAATTCTAGAAAAACTATCATTATTAATTTGGTGTTTAATTAAAAACACTCAAATCGATGGCTCCTACGTATAAAGGCGAAACTGCCGCTTACGCCTTTTTCCAATTATTTAAGCAATGATTTCACTTTGCTCTAATCTATAACATCAGTAAGAAAAAAAAATTATCCATTACATACAAAATAAAATTTTATGCAAATAGGCGTATGTGCAAAAGTACAGAATCAGAATCAGAAATATTTATTTGCTTTTACATGGTTTTACAAGATATTATTATTACAATTGGCATGTCCACATGTTGACTTAATTAGTCGTGCAAATAGTGAAAAAAAAAATGTAAGTACAAAAGAACAATAATAATAATAATAGTACGCCACGTATAAAGCCCAATCATACGATTCGCTCATCTATTAGTATACGAGTAGTTGCTTACATAAATATATATTTTATATAATATTAATATTAAATAAAGCCATGAAAATATTTAGCAAACTGTTTTATTTATAAATTATGACACATTATTTAGTTATTTAATTTTTAGCGTTAAAAGTCGCATCTCAAACTAATTTGAAAATTATAAAAAATTTGAAAAAATTGAACTGCCTAAGGCATCGTGGGTTCAATTCCCGCCTTAGGCAGTTCGATTTTTTCAAGTTATTTATATATTTTTGCATGCATAAATAAAGAGAGTAATCGGTTAAAATATTATATTTACGTTATCATTTAAGTATCTTTACGTTGAACAATATACATGAAATTATAGAAATATGACGGCGTAAAAGGGCCAATGTGTAAAATCTCAAAATATACAAAAAAAAAATATGAAAAATTGATAACAGCAGTAGCAAAAGCATTACATGTTGAGGCTAAATGTAAAATTTCATTAAATTCGTTTTAGTAGGTCAGAAGATATGACCCAATAACTTACTGGCTGGTTCTGGCTACTTAAATGGACCTCCTGTAAAATCTATTTTTTTCACATACGCCAGCATACGTAGGAGCCATCGAAATGCACTTCTAGCGTCAATAATACTATTCTTCGTGTTACCTACCTATATATTTTTTTAGTTTTGTTCGTTCGTATTGTAGCCGCCAGCTTCGGCTGCAAACATTCACGACGTTTTTATTGTGGTCGGTGGCGGCTACACTATCAAACGCATTCGGTTCAGTGCTGGACAAAGAATGGATCAAGTAATGCACGACCCCGCAAAACTGGACTCAATTTATGTAGTTTATTGAATTACATATTCGAACGAATTGGTTAATTGCGGGACACTGCAACATAAAATATGAAAATGGGTGAAACTAGACCAATTTTTATCGAAGGAAAAAATGACAAAAAATATCTCAGATTTTTTTTATAGATTACTTATTGTAAAGATAACGTTATAACTTTTGAACTAATAGGTGCTATATCCTGATGAAATAAAAACAGTAATAATTCTTTATAACAGGTGATACTAATAAAATACATAAAATACCCATAACATGGCAACAAGAATTTTAATTTGTGTTTTATTCATTATTTTGATTCATTTTCTCCAAATAAAACCCCTATCACAGGTGGTTTTTTATGACTTTTTGTTATTAATTTTCTATCGTATTATCTTTGTAAAACCACAAATCTTATGTCTCTCTATCCCTATCACAACGTTTGCTATGATCGTTTGAACAAAGGTCTGCCACCACATTATTCTCCGCCTCGGGTAGAGACAATTTTTAAGCAAAGAAGAAAATCTGAATTTCTAATGTAAAGATAGCAAAAAGTAGGAAACTCTTTTTTATTCTAATCTTACGCAATGAATAATAATGAAAAAACCTCTATATATAAAATGATGAACAACAGCGTTGCAGAACAATTCAGTTTTGGAAGAGCTAACAATGGCAAGTAAATTCATCTGTCTGCTTTTGCTGGTCTGCGCATCATATACTGCTGCACAAGGTAATTATTTTCTGAAATTATAACCATTTAATAATTAAAATCTTACTACTTGGCCTACCACTTTATTATAATTTTTGCCTATTGCATTTAATTTTGTCATCATAAACTTAATCATCAACATCCTTATCATTTGGGCATATACCAAGTCCACTGATAGACCAAAGTTTTTTGCAAGGAGCGAATGCACCATTTAACAATCTTCTTGTGATTTGTCGGTCTATCGAGTAGGGGCTATAACAGTTACAACGTTTTTAGGTCTCCATTCATTGGTACCCAGTATGCTAATAGGCTAGTGAGTGCCTGATATCCTCAGCAGCGGACTTATAATAGTATGCACGTTTATAGCATGACCAGCGCCCATATACGCTTACCTAGACACAGGCAACTTCTGCTACCGTTAAAAACAACCTTAGTAAAGGTGTAATAATTAATTTGCCTCGCAGACAGCAGCGATAGTAGCGACAACAGTGTCAGTAGCAGCAGTGACAGCAGTGACAACTTGTCCAAACCATGCTCCACCGATGACTTGGACTGTATTCGCCAGTACTTCATGAGCAATGAACGCTGTCGCCCAAGCAGCCACGAGGATGGTGTCGCAATCCATAAGGACGTGCAAGTGGCTTATATTCCAAAAATAAACGTGACCGCCATCTCGCTTGACGAATACATCACCTTCTATGGCTCCACGATTAAAAAGTTTTAGTAAGTTTTTACTTTTCTTGCCTACTTAATCCACGTCATTTGGTAGTTTTCCTCGTATGGTTGCCACTCGCGCCGCCATGCCATATCCGCAAAGTTGAAATTCGTAAAGAGCACATTGAAATCTCTCTCTCGGAAAACATTCCAGGTAAAGCCATTTGTATCGCTTTTGTTCTTTTTAATGGCTGTTGCAACTGCAGTAAAAAAATAACTAAGTTATTTACAAATAACCAACACATCTTTAGTATAATCGACGTAGATAGACGACGCTAAGAAAAACTTAAAGAGGGTGTAACTGGGATGACCATTTATTTGCCAACTTAGAAGGTAATTCATGGCAACCAAGTAATAGTCCTGGCATTACTAAACCTATTCAGATGTGCTAGGAACGAATTTAGAAATTTTATGGATACACAGTAGGTACACACGCTAGTACAATAAACATAATTAGTATTTTTTCAGCATAAACAACGTCAGTAACAACCTGGTGATTTCAATCGACTTCGAAGGTATCAACATCAACTCCCAACACTGCACCCTCGCCATCAACCAGAGGGGCGAAGAGCCGAAGTTGGTCGAGGATTACGCCAACGAAAGTTACTGTTAGTACCTTTATTGCTTTATCATCATGCAATTGCCTTTTGATGATGAGTATGAAATTGATCATTCTTCTTCTACTATTGTGTGCGTGCGTACCTACAACTGTGCCTGTGTTATTAAACTTTATGTCATGCCATAAGTATCTGAAATTGCTTAATTGGTCTGACAACTTTTATGAAGGTACCCTCCAAAGCAGGAATAATTTATTTTTCTGGTCAGTTAAGTACACATCCTATTTCCTAACCAGACTTCACCCCGGTTTTGAAAGTAATATGTTCTGGAAAGAGAATCCTAGATCTTGGAAAAGCATCAGACACTGGCTTTTAATTTCCAAAAATGAAAAATAATTATAATATTATTATTATAATGGTTTTGAACCTCATCTCATCGCAAGAAAAGAGAGTTTTTAGAAAATTCATCTTTCGAAGTAGGTATTAAGGTGTTATGTTTTTTGTTCTTTCAGCTGCCGAAATAACTGCTGTAATTTCTGGACGTGGCAAAGAAATAAGGTCAGCTAAAGTCAGCGCCTTCAACACCAACGCCTACCCACCCTTCGAACTTGGACCCAATATCTCGCAGAGTTCAGGTTATTTTTCATTCCTTTTGTTTTTTTATTTTGGATTAGCAACAATGTTGGAATTATTGGCTTCTGGCGTTAAGCTTTATTAAAATCGGTGCGTCATTTTACAGAAATCAGTTATTATGAAATTCAACATGCCATGATATTTTCGATCATGGAAATATAAATTAACTAGCTTTCCGCCCGCGGCTTCGCCCGCGTGGAATTTTGTCTGTCACAGAAAAACTTTATCGCGCGCGTCCCTGTTTCAAAAACCGGGATAAAAACTATCCTATGTTCTTTCCCGGGACTCAAACTATCTCTATGCCAAATTTCATCAAAATCGGTTGCGAGGTTTAAGCGAGAAAGCGTAACAGACAGACAGACAGACAGACAGACAGACAGACAGAGTTACTTTCGCATTTATAATATTAGTTGGGATGTAAGGGAAGAACTTTTCAGGAGAAGCAAAAAACAAATTTTATTTTTAATAGTTGCTTGTATTTTTTTCACTTTTTATTCTACTTAATTATGGTCTATGGCAAAGTTGCTTAGATTTGAGAGCTCTAAAAAACTATGTAAGCAAAACTAAGATTATCTTATTGGATTCCGAAATAGCATGTCGCTTACATGAAAAAAAATGCAAAGGCGTTTACCTTAATTGCATTTATCACAAAAATACATCATGCACAAAAGCATTAATGTAAGGTAACTGTTGTAACTAAGCTTTAAGTTTACTAAGGTACCTACATGCCAAATTTTAAGCGTCTTTAGATTTTTCATACAAAAGGATTTTCCCGCTAATTTCCGTTCCCGTGGGAATTTCGGGAATTCCTTTCTTAGTGCATCTCTACGGTACCTAAGCTACGTCCCTTCCAAATTTCAAGTGCCTACGTTTAGCCGTTTAGGCTGTGCGTTGATCTGTCACTAAGTCAGTCAGTTTCTCCTTTTATACAGGGTGTCCCGTAATGTAACGTCAAGCCGGAACTGGGTGTTGAGGCAAGTTATGCTGGTTATTAGAAAAATATAAAAAAAAATCTATGTGGCATATTTTCAAAATAATGGGCATTTAAAAAAAAACAAAAATTTCTACTCCAGGTGACGGTCTTTTTACTCGTGTTGCCACAAATCTTCACTTTTTCCAAATTTTTTTTTTGTTATGTAACCCTGAATAATGCTTCTCTAAATTGTTATCAAAATTACAAAACCAGCTGCTCCAGCTTGAATGTAAAAAATAAATTTTTCCCAAAAAAATTTTCAAAATAAAAATGTTGCCTAGTTTAAACTGACTGTACTGAAAAAAAATTGTACTACGCGAGTGTGGCAAGTGACGTCACAATTTGGCGCATTTAGTAAGGATTCCAAAATGGTATAACACTTGGTAAATTCTTGCCAATGATATTATATAAAAACAAAAGCAGATATGTTATAAGCGCTCGCGCTGTGAATACTCAAATACGTCCCAATTGGGACGTCTTGTGTTTAGTCTTCGTGTGGCCTGGGTCGTGCGCAATCGCGTGCGTACCACACCGTAAGTTCCTGTGTTCTTACCAAAATAAATAAAAAATGCCATCGTGTGTGTTTCGAAAGTGTACCAATTATGACTCTAAAGTAAACAAAATACAAGGGATCTCTTACCACATGTGATTATGCAAAATTATTTAGTATTTATATTTTCAATTATTTAAGCAAACAATCAAGACGCCATCGCGCCTTGCGCCATGTTCAAGTTAAGAAAGAGAAAGCGATCTTGTTTTGACGTTAGAGCGATAAGGATGCGTGCGCTGCGGACATAGATAATTTGGTGCAGAATCGTTAAAACTATAGCTATCTCTTTCATTTGCGTGCTATTTCGTATCTTTTGTTTCACTTATCAGTTACATTCGTCAATGTGTGCAATTTGGAATAGCTCGGCACGGATTAAAATCGTAATTTGTATGAACGTAACATATCTATAGTTCTGTAATATCATTGATTCTTGCTGTAATAGTCGACAATTTTTGGTTTTTTGGAAATAATCCCGTTTTTAACTTTATCTACCTTGGTTAAAAATTATTATTCTAATGTGCCCTAAATTCAAGTTTCTGGCTTGAATGAGGTAGAGAAGCCATTTTAAAAGGTATGAGCGGGACGGAGAGGGCCATCCTACCAAGCAGGGATGTTATGGATATCCGTAACCGTAACCGAAACTATCGGATATCCGAAATAAAAAAATATCCATAACCGTAACCGAAACTGATTCAAAAGTTACAGATAGTTTCGGATAAAGGCGGAGTCTAAGGGTACAATTATTCCAAACTGCAAAACTCTATGAAATCTGCAGTATACACGCCGCAGCGGCAATGCCGCGCTGCCGATTTCATAGAGTTTTGCAGTTTGCGGTCTGCGGCCCGTCTTGGAATTGTACCTTAAATCTTAATATTTGTTACCAACTTGTCTGGCATTCCCTGGCACCATCTAATATGCCAGCCTGTTTAACCTTTATCATACATAGGTGTCGTCTTAGTTGGTACATAAAGTAGCTATGTGGGTCACGCAGCATCTTGCTATTTGAATTATACCTACATTTTTGAAATTCTAATAATTCCGTAACCGAAATTATCCGAAACTTTCGGATAATCTGAAATGATTTTATATCCGTGACCGTAACCGAAACCGGTATAATATTATTCTAATATCCGTAACCGTATCCATAACCGAAACTTCATATCCTTATTATCCCTGTTACCAAGTACAAGTGCAGGCAGAGCAGGTAGTAACGGCGCGCACGCACGGGTGACTTTTGTCACAGTATGTCAACTACTAATTACTGTCATGGTGACAAAAGTTTCTGTGACTGACTGTACGGTAGTCAGTCACAGAAACTTGAATTTTGGGCACATTAGAATAATGATTTTTAACCAAGGTAGATAAAGTTAAAAACGGGATTATTTCCAAAAAAACAAAAATTGTCGACAATTGCAGCAAGAATTTACCAAGTGTTATACCATTTTGGAATCCTTACTAAATGCGCCAAATTATGACGTCACATGCCACACTTGCGTAGTACTTTTTTTTTTCAGTACAGTCAGTTTAAACGAGACAAAATTTTTATTTTGAAAAATTTTTTGGGAATAATGTATTTTTTTTATCCAAGCTGGAGCAGCTGGTTTTGTAATTTTGATAACAATTTAGAGAAGCATTATTCAGGGTTACATAACAAAAAAAAATTTGGAAAAAGTGAAGATTTGTGGCAACACGAGTAAAAAGACCGTCACCTGGAGTAGAAATTTTTGATTTTTTTTAAATGCCCATTATTTTGAAAATATGCCACATAGATTTTTTTTTTTATTTTTCTGATAACCAGCATAACTTGCCTCAACACCCAGTTCCGGCTTGACGTTACATTACGGGACACCCTGTATATTTAGATTAGATTTTTGAAGTAAGGTACCCTTTTTGGTTTAGTTATTGGTGTATCTTAACCAAAATACCATAACAAAATTCTACTTTCAAAAGACCCCCTTTAATATTTATTTTATTTAAGAAAAATAGAATATTTTAAACGTCTACTTGTTGCCGTCGAGCGAAAAACGGCAACAAAATTACGTTTTTTGTATGGGTGCCCCCTTTCAATATTTTTACTTTATTCTATTTTTAGTATTTGTTATTATAGCAGCAATAATTTCTATTGCTGCTTTTAATATATTTTCACAGATGATGTATTTCACATCATCTGTGAACATTTCAACTGTCTGAGCTATCACGGTTTATGCGATAGAGTCTGGTGAGCAATATCGAGCAAAAACGGCAAAAAACACGTTCTTTGTATGGCAGCCCACCTTAAATATTTACTTTTTTCTATTTTTGGTATTTTTTGTTATAGTGGCAACAGAAATACATAATTTGTGAAAATTTACACGTTAATTATTATAGACACATGCTAACACATTAATGTAAGGGACAACATATTTTCTAAATACATTTTGCACAAGTGCTTGATACGTCAATATTTGTAATAAAGATTTGTTTAGAACTTCCTCAAATGTGTAAATGTAAAAGACAAAAAATTCGATAGCGCGTAAAATTCGGAATCAAACTGTAACCTATGTATAACTAATTTTCGGGATTTTGTCCCTTACATTTCATCCGTGATCGTTTTTTTAAAGGTAGGTTATTATAGCTACTATAATTTTCGGTATACTCTACTTTCAACAATAATTGTGCATTAATTATAAAAATATCTACAAATAAAGAAGTTACAGGGCCCCAAAGTTGCGCACCCCAACTAATTTATAAATGCGAAAGTAACTCTGTCTGTCTGTCTGTCTGTCTGTCTGTTACGCTTTCCCGCTTAAACCTCGCAACTGATTTTGATGAAATTTGGCATATAGATAGTTTGAGTCCCGGGAAAGAACATAGGATAGTTTTTATCCCGGTTTTTGAAACAGGGACGCGCGCGATAAAGTTTTTCTGTGACAGACAAAATTCCACGCGGGCGAAGCCGCGGGCGGAAAGCTAGTAACAAATATTTCGCGTTATTTGATCGGTGACGTCACGGCACTCATTCGGAGTACAAACAGTGAATCATCCCTGGTCCAGTGCTGTTGACAGATCCAATTTTTAAAAATCTAGTTTTTTTTAATTTTTCAGCCAGTGTCACTCCAGATTATTTCTTAGTAAAATCTTGTAACCTCTTTTTGACATAAAATATCTCAGATCTGGCTATACATACAGGGTGTTTCTTGTAAGGTGTCAAGCCGAAGGCAGGTGATAGGTGAGGACTAGACCTATCGATTTCACCCCCATGTATGTTCTACGATTTTTCGTAGTTTAGAAGTTATCGTGAATTTTGAGATTTTTTCAAATTTTATGACCTAGTGGCTTAATTTTTTTTTTATCTTTTTTTTGGGTTGACGTTTCTCAGATTTCTTTTTTTTGACAGATTCCCTATTAGTTGCAGATATTTGAAAAAAATAATCACCTTTCTATCTTTGATGCAAGATACAAAATTTTTGCTAGAAACATAAAAAATATGCTTTTAGCAGAACATTCCAAATTTTTAAACTGAAATGTATGAGAAAAAAAAAGAATTTCCATAGGTCCAAAATAATTTTAAAAACTGCGCAGTCTCCTAAACTTTCATAATAACACAAAAAAACATGTACTTAATAGGCCATTATTTTCTGTAATCGCTCCTTTTCAGTTATTGTCTCTAAATGTGTTCTACATAACGTAAACTTAGGGGATTGCAAATATTACTTAGTCCTAAGAAAGTCAAAAACATGTAACGGAATCTCCGACTTACCACTTTAGTGGAGCGATTACAGAAAATAATGGCCTATTAAGTACATGTTTTTTTGTGTTATTATGAAAGTTTAGGAGACTGCGCAGTTTTTAAAATTATTTTGGACCTATGGAAATTCTTTTTTTTTCTCATACATTTCAGTTGAAAATTTTAGAATGTTCTGCTAAAAGCATATTTTTTATGTTTCTAGCAAAAATTTTGTATCTTGCATCAAAGATAGGAAGGTGATTATTTTTTTCAAATATTTGCAACTAATAGGGAATCTGTCAAAAAAAAAGAAATCTTAGAAAAGTCAACCAAAAAAAAAGATAAAAAAAAATTAAGCCACTAGGTCATAAAATTTGAAAAAATCTCAAAATTAACGATAACTTCTAAACTACGAAAAATCGTAGAACATACATGGGGGTGAAATCGATAGGTCTAGTCCTCACCTATCACCTGCCTTCGGCTTGACACCTTACAAGAAACACCCTGTATACAAAAAGAAGAAGATTTTGACATTAGGTAGTGTTATTTTCGACAACGTGCTGGGGGTGGTAAGCATTGTGGTTAAAACTAGAGCCCTATTTTTGAGTTCCACGCGAAAATATGTAGGTAATTTAAATAATTAATTTCTCAGCCATTTCTTGATGGATTTTAAAAAAAATCTTTAGTTTCGGTCTATATTTTAATCCCATTCAATGAAATAATAATGTTTTTTTTTCTTTCTTAAAAAAAGATTATTAGCAATGATAAATAAGCTTATGTTACGAATGGCCCACCACAATAATCGAGCGGCGGTGGGATTCGAACCTGCGTTCCTCGGATCTCGAGTCGGCCAGTCCGACCCATTCACCGTTCGGCTATCGTGGCCTTTATAACCTGTTTTCAACATCACGAAACTTCTCCATTTAAATTATCGTTACTTTTTCTTCCTTTTTTTAAATTATACCTACTGACTTACACATACTCTATCGTTTCAGATGACGTAGTCCAGGCTATGTACCAGGAGTTGGTGTCAAACATTCCTACAGCAGTTCAGGAGCTTTTTCTGACCAAAGCCCCCTACTTCTTTTACGTCTACCTGCAATCTTACATCTGCGACTACGGCATCGAGTACACTGGACAGATAGTTTAAAATTTTGGAAAACGGTGGCAATTCTTTTGAACCATTCTCTTAAGTCAGTTTCTGAGGCATGGAAGTGGCACGTGAGGGTTTTTTGTGACGGATAAAGGTCAGCGACTTTAAATCGCCTTCAGATTTTCGGATTTGTATGCTCTGTCAAGTCGCCCCTCCCTTGCAGCTCCCATACCGCAGGCACTGACTGCACTAACTGATTCAGTTAAGCGCTATCTATGCCTATAAATTAATAACGTGTTTCTTTTCTAGCGGATGAAAGACAATCTTTAACACGTGATAAGTGTGTCAGTCAGTTTTACTTTTAAATATCTTATTTACTTTAGCTGGTATTCATTCAGGGTCAAATTCTGACTATATTTTGGATAACCTATTGGTTGATATACCCTTATATCCAAAGGGTACTACAAGGTTCGAGACTATATTGTTGACAAGGATGCGTGGTCAGTTCAGTCTGCACATATTTGATGTACTTAAAACTGGCAATTAGTGGTGATTGAGTTTGTTCCGGCGTTTCTTCTCAGCACTTGCCATAATATGTTTGTCTCGAAGCGCTGGTAGGGCCCAAAAGATAAGGAGACGTGTAAAGTGCCCCATAAGGGCTGGCTACCTTTTCTTTTTTCTTTTTTACTATATTTTGACGTCCATAAGTGCCACTTGTGGTCTAAACTGAATAAATAATTTTGATTTTGATTTTGTTTTTGATTTCTTCCTGTACAGTACAACACTGCCTCAGTGTGAACACAGCTTTACCGGGATTATTAGATTGTGTGATCCTAAAATGTATGATAACGTATCACTTCTTCGTGGTTGGCAACTTTTCATAGTGTGTCTTCATAGCAACAAACTAAAAATTCTTGTTAGTGACATTTTTTTTGTTCTGAGCATAAAATTAATAACAAAAAATTATATAATGTAGATTACATACTATATTGACGTCATGTACTAATTACAAAAATAAGTAACCACCAGATTGTGTAAACATTAGGACGAAAATTAAACACACGCCTTTTATAATTGCTATTTATTATGATAATTATACACAAATGAAACACCTGCTAATAAAAATTAAAGAAAAAGATGTAATAAGCATGAAAGGGAATGACTGTCAAAATAATATTTAAAACATTATTCATGAAACGCAACTGAAATGATGATCATAATTGGATTGTAAGAAAAATGACTTAATACTTAATTGCTAACTCTTTGCCCATTTTTTTCTTAAACTGCTAGAATTTCCAAACACTGGTAAACTTAGAAGAAACACCGAACTACTTCCATAGTACAGTCAGTTGCATAAAAACTATAGATTTTTCTATCTCATTAATCACTCCCACCTCTCGTTCCCACCGCTGCAGCTACTCCTGTGTAGCCAGGATCTACAGCTTGACCGCTAATAAAAACCCGACCAGTGAAGGTCAAGTTTGGTCAAGGCCAAGAAAGACCGTGCTAGCAAATTTTGAATCTAGTATCGAAATAGACTGTTACAGAACTTTTTACAGCTGACTGTACAAGGCAAGTAAAATACGACGAGTAATTAAAATTTATTCCTTTATAAATGATATTTCATAGTCTGTATTTCATACGCCAGAAAAGAAACAGAAGATGAATTTAGTTTAGAGAATGGTTCAATGGAATTGACACTATTTTCCAAAAAATTAAACCATCTGTCCAGTGTACTCGATGTCGTAGTCGCAGATGTAAGATTGCAGGTAGACGTAGAAGAAGTAGAAAGCTTTGGTCAGGAGAAGCTCCTGAACTGCTGTAGGAATGTCTGACACCAACTCCTGGTACATAGCTTGGACCACCTCATCTGAAAAATTGAAAGTTAGCATATAGAAATTTATAGAAGGAAGAAAGAGTAACGATAATTTCAATTATCCTATTTCAGTATAACAAAAGAAAATCAAATATGTTTGCTGGGTGTTCGAATTTTATGTATAGAAAAAATTATCAGTTTTTTCGAAATGTCATAATAATTATTAGAAAATAAATGCTTAAAACATAAATCAAAAGGAACACGAACTAACATAACAATCTTTTCAAATTAACTTAATTCGACATATAAAACATCATGACCAATGTTAAATTTTAAAATAACTGATTTTTATAAAAAACTAGCTTTCCGCCCGCGGCTTCGCCCGCGTGGAATTTTGTCTGTCACAGAAAAATTTTATCGCGCGCGTCCCTGTTTCAAAAACCGGGATAAAAACTATCCTATGTTCTTTCCCAGGACTCAAACTATCTCTATGCCAAATTTCATCAAAATCGGTTGCGAGGTTTAAGCGGGAAAGCGTAACAGACAGACAGACAGACAGACAGACAGACAGACAGACAGACAGACAGACAGACAGACAGAGTTACTTTCGCATTTATAATATTAGTTGGGATGCGCCGATTTTAGTAAGGCTCAAACGCCAGAAGCCAATTTCTAACTTGCTGCTAATCCACAAACAAAAAATAATGAAAAATTACCTGAACTCTCCGAGATTTTGGGTCCAAGTTCGAACGGTGGGTAGGCGTTGGTGCTGTAGCCGCTGACTTCAGCTGACCTTATTTCTTTGCCACGTCCAGAAATTACAGCAGTTATTTCGGCAGCTGGAAGCACAAAAAATAAAACACGTTAAAATACCTACTCCGAAAGACACATTTTCTAAAAACTCTTTTCTTGAGATGAGATGAGGTCCAAAACCATTGCCAAATATTTTTTCTTCATTCTTGGAAATTAAAAGCCAATTTTCGAGTCTTTCAGCGACTTGGCCCACTTTTAGCTCGGTCCACGGGCCTAGTCCCTGGATTGAATTTTTAAAATATTTTTTCTTCCAGCAACTGGGCCCACTCTAAGAGTTTAGAGTAGATTTATGCTTTCTCTCAATGAGAAGAATGATCTAGGATTCTCTTTCCAGAACCTTTAAAATCGGGGTGAAGTCTGGTTAGGAAATAGGATATGTACTTAATTGACCAGAACAAATGATTCCTGCTTTGGAGGGTACCCTCATAGAAGTTGTCAGACCAATCAAGCAATGTCAGATACTTATGGCATGATATAAAGTTTGACAACACAGGCTCAGTTGTACGCACACAATAGTAGAAGAAGAATGATCAATTTCATACTGATCATCAAAAGGCAATTGCTTGATGATGACGCAATAAAAGTACTAACAGTAAGTGGCGTTGACGTAATCTTCAACCAGCTTCGGCTCTCCGCCCCTCTGGTTAATGGCGAAGGTGCAGCGTTGGGAGTTGAGGTTGATGCCTTCGAAGCCGATTGATATCACCAGGTTGTTACTGTCGTTGTTTATGCTGGAAAAAATACAAATTATGTTTAAAATGTATTGTGTTAGTATGTTATGTTTCCATAAAAAATCTAAATTAATTCCTTGCAAATCTGAATAGGTTTTGAAAGCCAATGCTAAATAGAATGATAATTTTTTCCCCATTAACTACATCAGCATTGCTATGGATTCCCTTCTAAATTGGCAAATAAACAGTCATCCCAGTTGTTTACAGACCCTCTTTAAGTTTTTCTGAGCGTTCTACGCCGATTATACTACAATCATTAATAAATAATATGTGTTCGTTATTTCCAACAAGACTGGTAAAAAAAAGTTTATTTTTCACTGCAGTTGCAACAGCCATTAAAAAGAACAAAACTGGTAAACGGCTGGTGGTTTTATTCAAATAATTGTGATCTAAATAAGTAGGCAAGAAATGTACAATGTAAAAACTTACTAAAACTTTTTTATCGTGGAGCCGTAGAAGGTGATGTAATCATCAAGCGAGATGACAGTGACGTTGATTTTTGGAATATAAGACACTTGCACGTCCTTATGGATTGCGACACCATCCTCATGGCTGTTTGGGCGACAGCGTTCATTGCTCATGAAGTACTGGCGAATACAGTCCAAGTCATCGGTGGAGCATGGTTCGGACAAGTTTTGGCTGCTGTCATTGCTGCTACTGGTGCTGTTGTCGCTACTGTCTGCAAATTAAGAATTACACTTCTACTAAGGTTGTCCTTAGCGGTAGCAGAAGTTGCCCGGTAAACGTATAAGGGCGCTGATCAAGCTATAAACGTGCATACTAGTATAAGTCCGCTGCTGAGAATTTTGGGCACTCACTGGCCTATAGCATACTGGGTACCAATGAATGGAGACCAAAAAACGTTGTAATTGTTGTAGCCTCATGCTCGATAGACCGATAAGCACAAGAAGATTGCTAAATCGTGCTTTAAAGCGCTCCTTACAGGAAACTTGGAAACAGATAGACATCTGTGGACTTGGTAACGATGGATAACAATGATGATAATTATATTTATGAAGACTCGGTGAAGGCATAATTAGGAAAGGAAAAAGAAAAAGAGTAGGTAAATCAAAAAAATATATGAACCAAAGTGTACCTGTGAGCCTACCTTACACACTCTTATTGTTAAATGTTATTTCAAATGAGAATTGTAGGTTCTTCAAACCAAATAAAATGGTTATAATTTCAGAAAATAAATACCTACCTTGTGCAGCAGTATAAGATGCGCAGACCAACAAAAGCAGACAGACGAATTTACTTGCCATTTTCAGTTCTTCCAAAACCGTATTGTTCTGTCACATTGTTGTTCATCATTTTATATAGACGTTTTTTCATTGTTATTTAGTTCATTGTCATTCCGTAAGATTAGAAGGAGTTACCTACTTTTTACTGAATTACTAATTAAATGTAAAATTAGGAATTCAGTTTTTCTTCTCAGCTTGAAAATAATTAACAAGCATTTATTAACATAGGAAAGATATTAAGTGATTGATTTGTAATGGAGTTATCATAGATATTCTTTTTTTGACGCAATGTAAATTTAATTATTTAAATTCCCAGTAACAGTGAACCAGACTAAGATCAACAGTCGACAGCGCATTAGACTAAACATTTTTGTTGCAAAACAGAACCTATTACAACTTTTATAAGATCTTTGTGTTTACCTTGATGTGCTGACTGTACAAAAGACTGACGCTGAAGTCCAAGGCTTTGGTCAGATTTGTAATTCGCAATTCGTGCGATGACGCAACGCCGCAGAAGTAAGGAATTGTTACACTGTATACGGTCTGCGGTCAAGTCAAAGTGAATCGTTCGTTTCAACCAAATGACGTCCACTGCTGGACAAATGCCTCCCCTAAGGAGTTGCTCGTGGTCGCCACTCGTGAATTTTTCTGCCCCAACGGCCATCGTCTCTACGGGCTATGTGCCCCGCCCAGTGCCACTTGATTTTAGCAATTCTGCGAGCTATGTCGGTCACTTTGGTTCTCCTATGAATCTATGGTAAGCGAGCAAAGTAATGCAGCCCGCTTATTGTTTAATTACTTTGACCTGACTTCATACCGCATCCGCTGTGGCAAATCATTAGGTTGAGTTTGTTTTTCAGTGAATTAGAGATAGGCCAGCAGAATGTCTTGCGTCATTACAGGAAGTCTGAAGTAGTAATTGACAACCAAGGACACAAACCCGACGGCTTAGACAAACGGTTTGATACTAAGTAGGTATTTAAATGAAAACAAAAAATATTACAATTACAATAATATTATTATGTATTTTTCAGAAACGGTAGGTTATATGGCAAGTTAAATGATAAAGTTTTCGTTCTCTTATTTCTGTCCAGGTGAAGATGGAAAGTAATACGACGTCCAACGCTGGGTTTCCTGAAAAAAAATATCATTAAATAAGAAATAATATCTAACCTAAACATGGCTAAACATGTAGCATTATGAAATGCATTAATATAGTCGAATGATAGTAGGGCCCTCCTGACAATGTCGTAGCTGGGACGGTTCACAGTCGGACAACTACACATTGTCTCTCGTGTATGACATTCCACCAGGGAAACCACAACTGAACGTCCTCCAAGCAGCACAAAGAAACGATTTCTTTCATTGTTCTTGTGATATTATTAAATTCAATTTAAATTACCGCTCCAGTGTATTCATAGGCATAGTCACAAATGTACTTTTGGAAGTAAACGTAGAAAGAGTACGGAGCTATGGTGAAAAGTAGTTCCATCATAGCCGTCGGTAAATCGGCTTCAAGTTCCTCATACGTTTGCGATATGACCTCATCTGGAATTTAAAAATTTCATTAAAGGTGGTTCTAGAATCTTTGGTTCAGCCTGGGTACTTACTTTGACTATAACAAAAATCAAAAGTCTGGAAACTTCATAGAAAAACACAGTTAAAGTTATAATTCCGTCAAAGTTAAGGTGATGCAAGTCAGCCTTGTAATGATTAGAAAGTTTGACTAACTATCATATACACCACGGTCCTGTGATTCTCAAAAAGCACCCAAAAATATACCCACCCAATAAATAATAAACTCGAGAAATAGTTAACAATTCCAAATAAACAAAGACCAATGGTGTCGTTCTGAACTCTTAGATCCTCAAAGAGTTCATCAGGCTATTAGAGGGTTCAATCAATTCTTCTAGTAGGGTCGCCCACAAATATTAATAAAAGATTTGTGACTTCAATTTTAGTCCTGAACACACTTTTTAGAATCTTGCTTGTTGCTCCAATTTCACACATCCTCTAACGTCTGCATGACGTCATGCATCATCTCTTCCTAACCTTATTTATTACTACAGTAACTTCAGTAATAATTCCCTTACTTGAACTGTTGGAAATGCTTGACCCTACTTCAATTGAAGAGTCAGTCAATACATCAGTATTGACTTCAACAAATGATATGTATGTCCATCCACCTTGTATAACTGTCCCAGAAAGTTCTCCAGCTGGAAATTATGGAATTATATTAGAATTGGTAGGCATGGTAGGGAGACCGAGGATAGTTGTAACAGAGGAGAGTTGTTAAATTCAACTTCTCTGAACCTAAAACAGTTTATTTAACTATCAACTTTCAATTCGTTGCTCTTTCAACACTCCACAGCATGCCTGAAATAGTTAGCTGGGTAGCTGTCATAGCTGAAGCGAAATTGGCTGAAGTTACAACAATCCTTAGTCTCTCCTATAGGTTTGATCAATTAAATATCACTAGAATCCGATTAGACGTAGTGGGCAAGTGATTTTAGATTAGGTATAGTTCGGAATGAACGAAGTGATTTACTCGTATCATAAGCAATTGCTATTATTGTATATGTACTATAACTGGGAACTCCTCCTATGTTCTTTTGATTAATTTCGTTGCTGGTCCAATGACAGTTTAACATTCCCCGGGACAAACTTGGCCTTCACTGGTTGGGTTTTTATTGGCGGTCAAGCTGTAGATCCTGGCTACACAATAATTCTATCGGAGAGAACGAGAGGGGGTAATAGTATTATTGTATACTCACAATAAGTTAAGTTGAATGAATCAGTAACCACCAAAGATTCGCGCTCTTGTTGGTTGATGACGTAATTAGCAGTTTCTGATTTGATATTAATGCTATCATACTTTATTGTGATTACAAGATTGTAGCTGCTCCTGTCTTCACTGAAAAGATTCGAAGTCAAACATCATTACTATATCTCTGTCTTTCATATTATAATACTCGGTGGACCGATGAGCTAGTAAAGGTCGCAAGAAGGAGGACTTTTTTTTTAGTTCAAAAAGGATTCCATTAAACTTAGTTGCTAACGTATTAATATTTTTGCCTTAGTATCTACTAATGAAAACTTTCTTAACAGTCTTATCACTATTATTTTGTACTTTTTGGAATTTGAATTAAGTTTCATTGTTCCAAAATAAACTGTAAAATCTTACCGGAACCTCGTTATTTGAGATCCATAAAAAGTTACCACAGTCCCATTAGTAAGAATGGTCATATTTATCCTTGGAATATAAGCGGCCAGTCTGTCCTCCTGGATAGGGCTTCCATCATCATGACTTGAGTTGGTACAGAGTAAAGACTTGGAGAAGTACTGCCGCATGCAATCCAAGTCCTGGGTGTCGCAAGGATATAGGTACGTAAATATCTTCTTCGCTGCTGGAGGCATTGCTTGAATCGGATTCCGTTGAGTCTGGAAGAAAATATGATAAATTGTTAAAGGCTTGCCTTGCCTTACACCCGTAACTATTCACAAACATTACTATGAGGTCTCACAGAGCGCGTGGACGCACAGGGTGACACATGAACCAATCACAATCACGAGCTCTATTCAACGCTGTGCGTTCGATTTGCTGCTTTACTTAAGCAAGCATCGTTTGTGAATATGGGCCTTAGTTACGCGAGATGAATGCGTCTTTTTGTTTTGTTTTCTTTCGGTATTCCATTCTTTTGGATATGACCGAGTGAATTTTAGTATACTGTACTGATTGATTTGCAGTGCAGTATACTAAAATTCGCTACAATATCAAAACATAAAATTTTNTGTAGGCTCTCTTGTTCTGGCCCCTGTAGACGACTCTGAGGTTATGCAGATCATAATTGGTCTGAGGGAGAAATGTGCTGTGGGAATTGATTTGATTTCTAGTAAAATAGTCAAAAGATACGCTCACTTCCTGGTTACTCCAATCACTCATATCTGCAATTTAGCAATGTCAAACGGGGTGTTTCCTGCGGTGTTCAAGTTGGGACTTATTAAGCCAGTACACAAGAGCGGAGAGAGGGACCGTGTCGATAATTATAGACCCATCTCAATTTTACCGACTCTATCAAAGATCCTGGAAAGATTGGTTAATAAGAGACTTGTTGAGTTTCTAGAGTCAAATAGCCTTTTATCTCCTTCTCAGTACGGCTTCCGAAAGGGAAGGTCTACAAATGATGCTGTCCACGAACTTATTCATTCCATTGTAACTTCCCTTGATGATCATAAGAAACCTTTGGTGATATTCCTTGATCTTGCGAAAGCATTCGACACGGTCTCGATTCCTCGTCTCTTAAATAAGCTGGAAAAGGTGGGGTTATTAAGTTCAAGAGGTAAGAGGTATTCCCCTTAAATTTTTTGAGGACTATTTAAATAATAGGACTCAGAGAGTGAAAATAGATGATTGGTTAAGTGGAGATGCTGGTGTCACGTATGGGGTGCCGCAGGGCAGCATATTAGGTCCTACCCTGTTTTTAGTGTATATTAATGACCTATGCCAATATCAACTCAACGGGGGTAGTGTCTTTACTTTTGCTGACGACACAGCCCTATTTTTCAGCGGAGACTCCTGGGATGACACCTTTAATAACGCTCAAATGGGATTTGACGGGGTAAATAATTGGCTGAGGCACAACCTACTCACACTGAATGTCACTAAGACGAAATATGTAGCATTTGCGTTCAGATCCAGCCTTCTTCCTTCGCAAGTATTCTCAATTACAGCCCATGGGTGCAGCCCACAACCTCCAGTAGCGCAGTGTCTCTGCCCAGTGGTACAGCGTACGGAGTCCATGAGATACCTCGGAGTCATAATAGACCAAACTCTTGCCTTTAAGTCTCATATTGACACCCTTACTTCAAGGCTACGTAAGCTTATTTACGTCTTCAAAACTTTAAAAAACGTGGCTAGCCGAGGTGTTATAAGGGCAGTTTATTGTGCACTAGGACATTCTTTATTAGAATACTGTGTCTCAGCATGGGGTGGTGCTGCCAAGTCTCATATATTGGGTCTCGAAAGGGCTCAACGTGCCCTTCTTAAGGTGGCAGCTGGGTTACCCTTCCGTTATCCTACCGTAGAACTTTACAAGAACTGGAACGTACTCACAGTTAGGAAAACTTTCATTCTCAATATCATCTTAAAAAAACACACCCAGACAGAGTATGACCCCGAGCTACTAAAGGGTAAGCGGCGAAAAGATAAAGTTTGTCCACCTTCGAAGCTAAATACCATATATATATAATATTTAATAATTAGTATTAGAGCATATTACATTAAGCTGCTCTGTTATCTTTATAATAATACTGTCAAGTAACAACAAATTCGTCCTATGGCTTTTCGAATAGATGTGTAAAGTAACAGGCAAACATCAATTTGTTTTCGCAAACTATCGCACTTAAGGGTCTTACCGCTATACTACCATATAATATCCCACGGGTGGGGGCCTGGTGACCTGTAGAACAGGTTTTAAACAAAACCTATTTCAGGCACCAGTCCCACACAAACTTAGTATTAAGTACTTATAGCGTAATGTATTTTTTTACCAAATGTAATTTAACCTAAGTTTGTGAGGGGAAATAAATGATTTATTTATTATTATAAAAAAGTTGGAGCTAAAACACCGCGGTTGTGACGTTGAAGGATTCCCATTTTTAATATGAATTCATTTAGAAGGGTTATTTCCTATAAAATAAACATTATATATAGGTTCGTGTAGTAAATATGCTATTCTATACCTTGTCCATAAACTAAAGTAACCAACAAGAGAAGTGAAAATATTTTAGCCTCCATTTCGGTACAAAATATTTTTTCGACTTGAATACATTCTATGTTACTTTTAGTTTTTATAGACAAACGTTCGTTTAATTAAGTATTCTAAGAATAAAGAGGAAAATAAAGCATTAAATGTATTTTTAATGTAAATAACAAAACTATTACAATACAAATGTTGGCAGTTTCCATGAATTTTCAATTAAGAGTGACTACAATGTTATCATTTGTAAACTATAGAAAGTTTGCCTTTTAAAAATATCTGTACTTACATACCACTCAATTAGCACTCAATTAACTCCAAATCTGAAAATAATTTCAAGGTCATTAGTTTCTATAAGTTCATCAACATTTTCATCGAAGAGAGAGAATAAATATCTTAAAAATTTACAGTTTTTCTTATAGGTACTTACCTACCACTGAACCATTTTAGATGAACCTTTAAAGTTAAAGGTTCGTTTCCAGGGCCAAACAGTTTTGCGGGATTCATTAATGCATAATCCAGGCAAAACTGGACTGTCGAATGAACACACATGTATAATATTATGTGTGTTTGAGATTCGAATAATGATCTGATCGGTTCTTTGCGGGACAGGATGTATCCGTGGGAATTTAACAAGCCCACAGTAGGTAATTTGAATAATTAATCCCGTTTTTGCAACATTATTCATCGATGCTCTGCTCCAAAAAGGCTTTTAATTTGATTACTTACTTTAAAAGAAAATCTTTTGTTTTCAGGTAAGAACTACTGTTTCTGGGAGATGGTTTGTACGACTACTATTCTATGAGAAAGAAAAAAAGAAAGATACATTTATTACAATGCACATCACACAAATACAGGCAATTACCACGCACAAAAAACACACACACACACACACACACACACACACACACACACACATTACACCCACTACCTCAGTTACTTTTTGTTTAGTTTTGTTTAGTCTAAGTAAAAAAATATATATTATTCTAGTTATCTTAAAGAGTTTAATAACTGTTAATTGCCATGTACCGTGTGTCCTCACTATATTTTATCAACATTGTTAACCTGTGTTACTTAAGGCTGCCGCGACACAAGCACAGCTTAGTGCAGCAGCCGCTAGATAAACAAACTGTAATTCTTTTGTTGGCAAATAAAATACTTTTTACTTTACTTTACTTACTTACTTTACATAAACATGACAGTGGCACATAATAATGGAAGAAGAAAAAATAATAAAAACAAGAGTAAACTGAGCAGTGCCACCCATTCACCAACAAGATGCCCACTGCAGCGGGGGGTCCCGCTCACCAAAAGCCGTGGCCCACGGTGACGAAAGCCACGGCGCTGGTTTTCAGTGTGCCCCATTAACATAAGTTGTCATAACCTCGTGGCCTCGTACTTATCAGCTGTCATTAATTGTCTCTTTTCATCTAAGCAAAATCAACATTTGACAAAGGGACATGAGAGTGACATTAAATAGTTTTATTTTTACTTTTTCTTATGTTTTTGTTTCGATTTGTTCTCTTGTGCCCTTTAAAATGGGTAGCAATCACATTACCAAATTAACCACTACTTGGTTGAGGTGCACATTGAGGTGCTATTTTAGTGCGTTATTTCATCTTGAGCATCCTCTGTTCAAAGCCAAATCAAAAAAGTGATTTAATTTTTAATAAGCATGAAATAAAAGTGAGATAGGTAGGTTAATGCTTAACTAGTTGCTATTAGGTAAAATAATAAAAGATGTCAGATGGATATTCTTTATTACACCCCCCTAAAAGTAACTTACAACAGGTTTTCCGTTAAGAAACTATTTCTTCTAAACACTTCTAATAGAATTTAAAAAAAAATAACCCAAGAATACATTTTTACGATTTGACTTCTCCAGTGTATTGTATACCGTAATTACAAATATAGTTCTGGAAGTACGCATAGAAAAAGAAAGGGCCTTTGGTGAACAGCAACTCCTGGACCATGGTGGGGATGTCGGCTGAGAAGGCAGCGTAGTAGTTGGAGACGATTGGGTCTGAAATTAAAATTAAATGTAATAATGAAGTATGTTGGTAAAACTAGCCATATCTAGAATGATTAATTCAATACAACGTACATCTATTTCTACTATTTTTATACCGATCTTGTCGCGATTTTGTGAAAATTATTGTCAGGTAGCAAATAGCACACAAGATATTTTTTGTGCTTATTGTCCGTGAGATATCTTTTCTGAAAGAATACTGAAACCTTTGCTTTAGTCACCTGTCATCCTTTTTGCATTGGAGGGAAGTCGACTTAACTTCGAACTAGAGATCAGAATAGTCCGGTATAAAACCACAGATGAGCTTGTCATCATCATAACAAGATCATTTTAATCTCTACTGTAGGACACTTCCTAATTTAACAGATAAAGGAGGATTTGACTTAAACACTCCCCACGCTGCCCTGACCAGACGGGTTGGAGAAGCCTAATGTTCGCATATTAATTCTCCTAAAGTCGCCTCTTACGACATCTATCATCTTTCGACTCTTATCACCATTCTCTAACTGAATTGACGAACCATTTGTGAAGTTTAACCGCCTCTGTGGTCTAGTGGTAAGACCACCTGCTTCAGACGCAGAGGTCCCGGTTCGATTCCCAGTGGAGGCAGATGTTTCTGTTCGGTTTGGTTGGTGGCTTGTTCTAAGTCCGCCTGGCTAGCTACCACCATCTTACCTAAGTCTGTCGCCATAACAATGTTAACAGCACGTTCCGGCAGTTAGTAGAGGTAAGATAGCCAGTTCCTCCGTGGTTGAGGATTCCGGGTGAAGCTCGCTTCCACCTTCGGCCTGATTGTCACTTACCATCAGATGAGATACAGGCCAAGAGCTTCCTCGTAGTGGATAAAAAAAAGTCAATAGTAGACTAATGATGATGAGTTACCTGAACTGTTCGAAATATTCGGCCCAACCTCAAGTGATGGGTGCGCGTTAGTGTTGTAGGAGCTAATGTGAGCTGCATCTATCCCTGTGCGGCCCTCCCTTGGAATGATCGCAGTCAGTTCAGCGGCTGTAACATTTTTTAAAACAATTTTTAGTACTTTTAACACTTAAAATAACTCAATTTGGAAGATAATGATTACGTCACGCAGACCATAATGAAGCTCGAGCGAGCATTAAGAAGGATTCTACAAAATAATGTAGTCTTTAATCTTAAAATTTAAAAGTCTAGCCTATACTCAATGGAACCCTCGATACTTATTACTTATATCAATATTTAGTATTCGTACTCGTATATCTATTTTATTAATTAGTAGACAATAAAATTTTGGAGACCCAGAAGGGTTATTTTGGGGCTTGCCAATAAAATATAGTTGAGCTACAATTTTCTTTATTACTAGATGGAATAATTGAAATATTGGGTCTACGCAAGGCCTCCTCAGGTCAGAGCATTCACGCAGTCGAAAGGTCTTAGATTCATTTCCCACCAGAGACATTCAAATTGACACTTACAGTATGTAGAATTGATGTAGTCCTCAACATACACAGGCTCTCTGCCTCTCAGGTCGATCCTCACGAGGCCATGAGGCGTGTAGAGGTTCATTACCTCGAAGCTGATGGACAATACAAGGTTTTTGGTTTCTTCGTTTATGCTGAAACATAATAAGACAAATTGTATCAAACTAGCTACAATCCGGTCGAGCTAACTACGCACCAGGCTGCCGTGACGTCGCATTGGCGCTCTGGTACTACAGACGAGGCGAACGCGTGGGCAATAGCATGACTTAACACAAGTCATCAACCTTGCTCACACACCGAGGTATTGAAAAGAAAGAAAGAAAAACATTTATTTTGGTTGAAACATAAATTAAATTACACAGTTTGATTATAAAATGGTTACCGCTCAGCATATTGTGTTGTCATGTTTTGTCATAAATATCTCGAAGCGCACTTAAAAAGGTGCAATTACGAAATCAGCTCACTTAATTTAGCGCACCTAAACTGCTCCTCGAAGGGCACCTTTTAGGTGCATTAATGAAACGGGACTATTCCCACCTCTCGTTCCCACCACTGCAACTCCTGTGTAGCCAGGATCTACAGCTTGACCGCCATAAAAACCCAACCAATGATGGTCAAGTTTGTCCCGGGGGAAAGTTGAACTATCATTGGACCCGCAACGAAATTAATCAGAAGAACATATTTATTCTCTTTAAGTTACTCGTATGTATTGCCCTATAATAAATTAATGTGATTTTGGTCTACTTCGTTCGTTTCAGCCATATGACGTCCACTGCTGGACAAAGGTCTCCCCCAAGGATTTCCATAACGATCGGTCCTGTGCTGAACGCATCCCATGACCTTCACCAAATCTTCAGATTTGGTCTACTTTCAGGTATATTTTGTACCACCAAATGGATCAAATATATTGTTATATAAAAAAATACCTCAATCAATTTTATATTAAGCATAAAATAATTTAAAAAAACACTCACCTTGTCCATATACGAGTACACCAACCAAAAGAAAAAGATACAGAATTGTTCCGCCCATTTTGTGTATCGTCCCAACGCTTATTCTTTCTGACATAAAGAATTTATCTTTATTCTTGTCTTTTATAGGAAGATGATATCACATGATTATGACGTAAGTTTAAATTCAGAAGTATTGGAACTAATTAAAATAACAGTAGCTATTTGTATTATTATACTATACCTATATTTAAAATGAGAAGGTACGAACTCTGTACGTTAGTTTTTTACGATTATAAGTTATAAAAAAAACAGATTTTGATCAAAGTTGGTATACCGATAGTTTGGGAGCCAGAAAAAAACTTGGATAGTTTTTGTCCCGGTTTTAGTAACAGAAATGAACACATTAAAGTCGAAAAATGGTTGAGACGTGTGAAAGGCCCTTTAGTACTGAATAAATGATTTGATTTGATTTGATTTGATTTGAATCTTTCTGTGACAGGATGATCGGGAAGAGCCGCGGGCAAAGCTAGTTTATTTTTTATGTAAATAACTTCCACGCTACATTACTTCCACAATAGATTAACTATGTAGTTATTTTTAAATGACAATCGTTTCTATTACAATGCGAATCTACATCAGGTATCAGGTACGTTCTATTACAATTCTTGTCTACATCAGGCACGCCTACATTTTTGGTGCGAAATATCACCTTGTAGACAGTGTGTGTGTTTCCAGTGATGAGACATGGTTCCAAAACGTGACCTTTAGAAGTCCTATGGTTAACTATGGGACTTACAAAGAAGCTCAAAGTTGCAGTGTGCTATGAAAAGAACTATGTTCGGTGTTTCTTTACGAAATCTAATCAGAAATGAGGAGATCCGTAAACGAACTAAAGTCGCTGACAATGGGCAGGGCACATAGTACGCAGAACTGTTGGCCGAAGAGACAGCAAGGTTTTCGAGTGGAGGCAACGTACCGGTAAACGCAGCGTGTGAAGTCCACCCACAAGATGACCGACGACCTCATAAAGATAGCAGGAAGGCGCTGTATGCAGGTCGGTACCAACCGGGCGATGTGGAAATCATTGGTGGAGGCCTATGTTCAATAGTGGACGTCCCAGTTGCTGAAATCATGATGATGATGATGAAAACACGATGAAGCACCTTAAACTTTTTATAAAATGCCACACTCTTGTTGTGCTGACGTCTGTATTAATTTGGTGTTTTTACTCAGTTGTGCAAATATAATTTTTATAACTTGGGTCAAAAAAAATTCGACGTTTATAACTTTAGTTAAGTCTGCGTTTTTGTAAAAATATCTGTTTATTTTAATAGTTTGTAATTATAAGAAACTGAAAATACTCGTTCATAACTGATATTATTGAAAGTAGAATAAGTAGGTATTAGACTGAGTAGAGCATATAAATTCTATGCAATGTCACGTACTTACGAGGTGTTGCTGTTTGTACTAGCAATTAAATATAACTTATACAGTTGTACCAAATTGTAAATGAAACATTTTTGCTTAAAAAAAAAACTGCAACCAAAAATGTAAATTGTCTTATTAGAATTAGAATTGAATTTGTTCATAATTATCGCAACTATGTATTTGAACTACAAAAGATCTATAATGTTGTATTGGTTGACAGTACAAAACAGTTAATATTAAGTAGTACTATTAAAACAAAAGTAGGAACAATTATGATAGTTTATTAAATACTTTTACAATGGGTATTCCCCGGTGTATTCTATGCCATAATCACAGATATAGTTCTGGAAGTACACATAAAAGAAGTAGGGGGCCTTGGTGAGCAGCAACTCCTGGACTTCTGTGGGGATGTCATCAAGCAAGGCTGCGTAGAAGTTGGCGACAACTGGATCTGAAAACGAAATAAGGGATTATTTAACTTTTAGCGTTGAAAATTATAAATAACTTGAAAAAATCGCACTGCCTGAGGCGGGAATTGAACCCACGACCTTCCGCTTGCCGGGCGACTGCTCTTCCCACTTAGCTACTTAGACACTGGATGAACCCGTCGAATTCATTTCCCGTCTTATAGGCAGTTCGATTTTTTCTAGTTATTTATAATTTTCGAATGGGATTTATTTTTAATAAGTTTCGTTCTTTGTTTACGAGTTTGCAACAAAAATGGGTAACCTGATGTACTGCGGTGTGTACTTCATATAGGTATGACTTACTTGAACTATTTGAAATGTTCGGCCCAACTGCAATAGGTGGGTACGGGTTAGTGTTGTAGGAGCTTATGTGAGCTTCCTTTATCCCTCTCTTGCCCTCCCATGGAATGATTGCTGTGAGTTCACCGGCTATAACATTATTTCAAAATATTTTAGTAGGTATAGTTAACAACTGGACTAGCCGAGAGCCGAACGCTGCTGGTTCGAACTCTGAGGGCTTACGTCCGTATTCACAAACGATGCTTGCTTAAGTGAAACAGAAAATCGAACGCACAGCGTTGAATAGAGCTCTGTGATTGGTTCGTGTGTTACCCTATGCGTCCACGCGCACTGTGAGACCTCATAGTAATGTTTGTGAATACGGGCGTTTGTGTGAGTTTATATCAAACGTCGTCACTAGTGAGCGCGTAAAAAATGTCATTAAATGTATGACGGATTGTACAGCGCCCCTAGCGGAAACTTTCAAGAACTAAAATTTTCAAATATTTTTTTAACGCGCTCACTAGTGAGAATGTTTAACTCTAATGTAAACTCACACTAAGCTTTCTGATGTCCTCTGAACTATTTGTGGTAAACCAACTTACAACACAAGCAAATAAGCAGGAGAGGTAATAGTTTTAACTCGTGGAACATCACGTCCCATCTCACGTCATACCTACCATCGCCGGCGCGATCATAGGCCAATGACAAGTCGCGCGGACTGTCATGGGTCGCGCGACCTGTCATTGACCTATGATCGCGCCGGTGATGGCGATCTGCACGCGTTGGAGTGGTTGAAGCATTAGAGTTCGCATTAGACCGCGGTAACAATTGATTTCTATTGTATCTCGATTCACTGGTTTAAAGAATTAATTGGTGATGAAGATATTTAAAAAAATACTAACAGTATGTAGCGTTGACTTTGTCTTCAGCATACACCGGTTCTCGTCCTCTCTGGTTGATCCTCAGGTTGCCATGAGGCGAGTTGATGTTCATACCCTCGAAGTTAATGGACAGCACGAGGTTATTCGTATCTTTGTTTACACTGCAATGAAATAATTAACTACCAGTTTCCTTGTGGATACTATCAACTGAGTTTCCTTATTTGTACACGATTAATTAATACTTAATTTACAAACTTTGACTTTCCTACTGTAATAAGTAACTAAAATAAATTTTTTCTGACGTGATGTGTCATGACGCATCAGAACGGAATCGGTTTCATACATTTAGTATGTGACATGTTAGAAGTCATCACGACACTGCAGTTTGTTACCATACTAAAGGACGTAGCACACTTATCAAGCCGGAAAGGGATCGTAACCGTAGCAATTCGAGGCGGTCAGTATTCTTTGTATGAAAGTCCATACTGCAACGCACACCCACACTGTAACGTAAACGCCTCGACAGCACGTTGACAGCGCGCGAAAGGCAATGACACCTCGCAAAGGCGATACGGTGTTGATCCCTTTCCGAGGTTATAGGTCTGCTATGACCTTAGATGTTTACCATAATTATGCGTCATGACACAACAAGTCAGACGAATATAAAAACCGTCAAAACTGTATTCGTTACTCACTAGAATTTTGTAATTGTTGAACCGTAGAATTTAACTTCGACATCTGTGGATATAAGAGTGCCATTTAGCCTGGGCATATACGCGACGTTCATCTCCTTCTGGATTGACTCGCCATCCTCATAACTGACTTCCCTACAGCCAGTATGTGAGAAATAATCGCGGATACAGTCCAAATCCAGCGACTCACAGGGGTAGGCGAAATTATTGGCACTGTCGCTGCTGTCTGAAATTTTTAATTACATAAGCCAATCAATGTTATTCCTACTGGATAAACTGTCCTCCTGAACATAGAATATTGCTTATAGAGTCTGTTATTGCTGACAAAGAAACGTTAAATCGATCGCTAGCGATAGTACTATAGTGGAGCAGACACTATTAGTAATAATGACATCAATATTATTATTACTGTCATTCCTTCCTTCGGTAATGACTGTAAATATTCCCACATTCAAATGGTCTTGTCACACTTTAATCGTTATTCTTTCATTCAAACCACGTCCGCTTATAAATTCGTTTTATATTCATAATTAGATTGAATTCATTAATTGAATAAATAAAAATGCACTTACCTTGTCCATAAACACCAATTAAAAGAAAAAGAAAAATAATTGTACAAGCCATTCTGAATATCGCCCCAACGCGTTTATTTTCTGAGTCGTGGAATTTTTCTTTATTTTTGTCTTTTATACGATCGATCGATGTGTCAGTACATAATTAAATTCAGAAGAATTTACACTAATTAAAATTAATGAAAACACACTACCATTAACATGTAAATGAAGTTTGCAGTTTGCACTATGTGGTTTTTTTTTTCATGACAATCGTTTAAAAATTATATATTTTTCAATATTGTAGCAGTAATGCTGCAAAGCAGCAGCAGATTTTCTACCAATTGAGATTAACTTTTGAACCGACTATCAAGGTAAATACAGTTAAATATTGAATATCCAATTGAAGTCAAAGACTATCTTAGCCGACTATCAACAACAAAATCAAAGAAATTCTAGTCAAGTTATAATATCGCCTAATTTGTCTGCGATATACTACAAAGGTTTCCACGCGCTGGCAACGTAATATCTCGTAATATAGTCAAAACCATACATAAATATTACATCAGCAACATAACTAACTTAATTCCACGCACAATAATAAATATTTTTATAATTTTATAAGATCTGGGCAGCTCTAACAATAAAAAATATGGTAACTTGTTTCAATCGGTGGATTGATAATTTTCTTGATAAAAATAAAACACTTAGTTATTTCCAAAAAAATATATTTTAATAATAAAAACAATTTTATCAAGAATAATGTTGAACAGGTACGCCGAAGTCACAGATATAGGTACTTACTTTTGAAGGTAGGCGAAGAATTGGTTCGCTGCTTCTGAGTAGTAATACTGTAGCATTATAGGCCCAGGGTCAGCAAATAAGGTCGCTAGCACACGTATCACAACGGGGTCTGAAAATAACACAAAATTTACTTATATTATAGTCCGGTCGCCGAGCACGTAGAATTTCGTCGCACAGTCGCGACAGCAATATACACTCAACATCAAATAAACCGCACCTTCCGCGACGAGTACTTTAAAGATTTTCTTCTGACACAATCATGGTACCCCAATAATATTGGTGTTATTTGAAAGCCCAATAAATATCCTTAAAGAAAAATACATTTCGTTTTTAAAGAAATGATTAACATATACCATAAATGTGACTTGAAAATAGACCTCACTTTGGGCTCACCTGCGGGATCAATTAGACCAATTTTTATGGTTATAAAACCAAATAAAGATCTCACGTGTCCTCTTTAACAGATGGATAGCGATTAATTCCAACTTAACAGTTTTATAGTCATAAAAAATGGCTATAGCGTAACTACCTATTTTTTGAAGAAGTGACTCTGGATTCTTGTAAAGACACATTTTTGGGGTAAAAACCTGTCCTTTAATGAAATGAAGTTTAGAACTAGGCTTTCAAATGGTACCAACGTTGGTGGGAAGTGGGGATGCATACGTTTGATAAGTGCTTGTCGCGGGAGGTGCGATTTATTTGATGCCGAGTGTAATTACACGCGAGCGATAAGGATAGGTAGCTTGGGGTCATTGGAAGAAATTCTACGTGCTCGGCGACAGACTTTATTTACAAACTGTGCCTCAGTATTTCTGAAGCGATTACTGTGTCGATATACGCCCGTTTCCCGTATTCAATCCTTGTCCAAATCCGGATTTCAACTGTCAAATTTAATTTTATTGTAGATTAAATAACTACAATTTTCAACTATTTTCGATGCGTTTACACTTTAATATTGTTTAAATTGCCTTTTAAACAATATGAAAATGTAAAAACATCGAAATCCGCAGATATTTTGACCAAAACCATATTAGAATTTGACAGTTGACGGACGGTTTTGGATCAGGATTCTGTTACATTCATGATAGTCAAGTTCGGGATCGAATCAAAGAGCGAAGTAGTCACGTACAAAAAGCTGGAGCGAAGCGATTAAAACTATCACGAACGTGTCTAGGAGACTGTTACTTTAAACTGCGATACGAAAATCGATTTAAAGGATCTACTCGTAAGTCCTACGAGTATATTGGAGTAGTTGAAGTTAGAGATTCTTTTCAAAAGGCTTTTAGATAAGTATTCAATAGGCAATAATAAACAACTGACTTTGGTTATACCAGCAACATCAACGAAATCGACTAAGAAGTCGAACTAAACAACTTCCAAACAGAACTGAATCCTCATACCTTGACTGTTTAAGACCTTTGGACCTATCCCAAAAGCAAACGATGACATGTAGGGTGTCACTCTGGAGAATTAGATGTCTTTACTCAGAGGAATCACAGCAGTTAGAGTTATACCTAGAAAAAAATATTGAGTGTAAAAATTCCAACTAATTAAAATGGCAACATCAAAAATTAATCAACCCTTTAGCTTCTGAGGCATAATTTATTCGTTCTTTTCAGCCAAATGACGTCCATTGCTGAACAAAGGTCTCGCCCAACTATACAAATCACCATCATCATCATTTCAGTCATTTGACGTCTACTGCTGAATATAGGCCTCTCCCAATGATTTCCATAATGACCGGTTGGTAGGTAGAACTGACTGCCGATTGAGCAGCAAAGTTGAGGCCACGTACCGGAAAGCGCAGCGTAGGACGTCCACCAACAAGGTGGACCGACGACTTCATAAAAGTAACAGGAAGGCGCTGGAGCAGGCCGCCACCAACAAGCCATTGTGGAAATCATTGGGTCAGCAGTGGACGTCCTATGACTGAAATGATGATGATGATTGCAAAATCACCCTGTATATTCACCAAAAGATTTACCAAAAGTTCCATTAGCACGGTCAGTAATCGTAACAGGCTCTTGTCCCCTCCGGTGGAAAATAAAGTGGGCGTTCCTGGATTCGATCCTGATACTGTCAAAGTCTATAGCCATCACGAGGTTGTTAGATGTCTTATTTATACTGAAAAAATTAAATTCAGAGTTTAAGTTTCAACCACACCAACGCGTGCAGATCGCCATCGGGAGCGATGATAGGCCAATGACAGGTCGCGCGACCCATGATAGTCCGCGCGACCTGTCATTGGCCTATGATCGCGCCGGCGATGGCGATCTGCACGCGTTGGTGTGGTTGAAGCATTTAAAGCCCGGTCTGTGAGCACGTAGAATTTTGTCCAATGACCCCAAGCTACCCATCCTTATCGCTCGCGCGTAATTATATTGCTGTCGTGGTGACTGTGCGACGGGCGCGGCGCCCGCAGTGAGTGTGCGAGCGCGACAGCAACATAACTACGCGCGAGCGATAAGGATGGGTAGCTTGCAGTCATTGGACAAAATTCTACGTGCTCGCAGACCAGACTATAGTTACTCTTAGTTAACATTATAGAGGTTTTAGCATCAGACTACAGATTCGATGATTATTTTGGTTCAAGATATTTTAATCCGTAAATATTGAATTTGCTTTATATCTCATTTTGTCTAGAGGACCAATGTTGATAGTACATCATTATTTACACAAGTAATGACAATCCAAATTAGGAAATAAAATATGAACTAGTTAATATGTAGAGCTATTTCTATGATATAAGGTTTTTTAGCGGACAGACTTTACGACTTTAGGTACGGTAGGTACCTTAACAATGAGCGAATATAAATCCAAATAAACTTACTAAAAGCTGCTAATTCGATCGCCAGAGAAGACGATACGATACGAGTCCTCGTCATTAAAACAGTAAAATTGATGGTTGGCACTATCGTATCCAACAAGTCTCTATAGAAAGGCTTGTTGCCATATTTATGGGCTTCCTTGCAGTCTGTGGTACTGGCCAGGTAACTCCTGACGCAGTCTACGTCATCCTCGAACTCGCAAGGATAGTAGAGATCGGGACTCATTCCGTTGCTCCTGATGGTCCTGCCTCTGACGTCACGCTTGTTATGACGTGTATCATGGTCGTCTGAAAAGAAAGATTGTATTTGAGTTCAGTACGTCTAGTATGAACAACTTTCGTCTTCGAATCGTTTGCGTGTTCGATGAAATTCGACACTCAATCTTCGAATTAAACGATAACGTGACAATTTTGATTCTCAAAATAAGTTTCGTGTAACCACATCTCATACTAAGTTCACTTTACGACACGTTCACAAGGGCGCTGTTGTAGTTTTCTTACTAAATCTTTTGATGGCGATTCGAGTACGCAAACGATTTGAACTCGAAAGTTTTTCGTGCTAGCCGTACTGATTAGAGGATTCGATCCTGAGATACCGGACGTTATTTTATCCCGAAAATTTCGGGATTGAATTTGACTAATCCCGGGATTTACGGGATTGAATACAAAATAATAAAATTCGTGATAAAATATCGCGTGAAACGATACGCACTCTTCGTTTGACATTTGCATCATATGCAGCGATTAACTCCAATTTAACAGTTTTATAACCATAAAAATTGGCGTAACAGCCTGTCGCTTTAAGAAGAGACACTAGATCCTTCTAAAGACACATTTCTGGGGTACCAACCTTTCCTTTAACCCATTAACGCCCGCCGTACAATAAATAGTACACAACTTTAAGTTATGATAAATCTGGTTTAGTGAGTATTTTTACCCTGGAAATAATTACAATCGGTAAACAAAGGTCTATGCATTATATCCTGAGATAAAACAGACAGATAATTATACAATCTTAAGGGGGTATTTTGCGATTTCGTTTCAGTGATTTTTTCATGTCTTCTAGTGGGTACTTGATAATTTTTTATGCAAGGTTTAAGTTACACAAAATACCAAATAAGTTGTTTGTGTATTAGCTAACAACATATCCTAATAAAAAAAACATGGAAAAGTTTATTTCATGGAAAGTTTTTCATGCTATAACTCCCAAAGTGATGCTGTACAAACTTTAGTACAATGGGCGCTTGACACGTTACGTAAAATAGTACAGTAACGACATTATTATTAGAGTGTTTACTTATTTCTTCATAGTTTTTATGTGTAATCATTGTTTTCTTTTTCCAATAACATGGCTCTTTATTTATGGGGTTACAGACAACAAAAAGAAACATTTTGTTTTCCCAATTACGACCTATTTGTCGACCTAAAGAGACTTAGTTACATAGTTTTTGGAACCACACGTGAAAACAGAACCAAAAGGTATCCTTTGATTACTTATAAAGATGTTCACAAAAAGCCTAGAGACAGATTCGACAAGGCAAACGTTCATTATCCCTAAATTTGAGTTTAACGGTTCAAGTCGAATACTACACAAATAAGTCTAACATGTTAAGTTTTCAATGGCCTAAGTTTCAATTAAATTGTTTAAATTTTAGAGGTAGAAAATATTGATCAAGCAAGCGACGGAATGTCTATGGATAATCACAAAAAGTTACGTATTTTTTTCCCGGAGCGACGATCGACTTATCTCACCTCCGCAATGGCAGGATCGCGACTGACGTTAACCGAATAGAACACAGTGATTGGTTGATGGTGTTCGGTTTAACGGCAATCTTGTATGATTACTCAAAATTTTAGGTACCTAAAATCGTGTGACCAACGTATTTTCCTTCCTCAATTCGAAATAATTATAAGTAGATATTTTTTTGACTATTGTGTGGAAAGTATATTTAATTACGATGATTTTAGTACATGTTACACACAAATTGAATGAAAATTGTGAATGCAGTAACCAAATGTTTCATTGCAACCGAAGGTGTGACACGATGAGAACGCGAAAAATGACCCCGTTTTGTATCGTTTCATGTGATGTTTTCGTATTATTTTTGCTTCTATTACGATAAAATTTGTTTTGTATGTAGCTAAATAGATATGTTATCACCTGAATTCAAAGTTATTGTTCTAACATAAACCGTTTATGAACTATTATTGTGTGACCATCAAATTTGAGTGTAAATGAGAAGTACCCAAAAATTGCGATGGCTTATTTATTGCCTTTAAGGCGGAACAGAGTTCGCCGGGTCAGCTAGTTTAAAATAAAAATAACGCGTTCGTTCAATCTGAATACACCTACGTCCTAAATCAGCCCACGCATTATCAACGCCCGTATGGCATACGGGACTATTCCTACCTCTCGTTTCCACCGCTGCAACTCCTGTGTAGCCAGGATCTACCACTGAACCGCCAGTAAAAACCCAACCAGTGAAGGTCAAGTTTGTCCGGGGGGAAAGTTAAACTGTCATTGGACCCGCAACGAGACTAATCAGAAGAACAAAGGAGGACTTCGAAGTTAAGGTTCGACTGGCTCCAGTGCAAAGTGGATGACGGGTGACAAAATGAAGGTTTACGGCACATGTTCAGATTTCATCATCATCTTCATGTTAGCCATAGGACGTCCACTACTGAACATAGGCCTCCCCCAATTATTTCCAGAAAGGCCGGTTGGTAGCGGCCTGCATCCAGCGCCTTCCTGCTACCTTTATAAGGTCGTCGGTCCACCTTATAGGAGCATCCTACACAGCGCTTTCTGGTACATGGCCTCCACTCCAGAACCTTGCTGCCCCATCGGCCGTCAGTTCTGCGTACTATGTTCCCTGCCCATTGCCACTTCAGCTTGCTAATCCGTCGGGCTATGTCAGCGACTTAAAAAACTACGGAGCGGCACCGCTGCGACGCCGCTGCGGCGACGCACCGCAATGTCAACGCCAGTGTGGCATCTCCCTTACTTTGACATTTGATTATACTCGTACTACTCGTAATCCTGATTTAATTTGTCACCGAGTTTTGGGCCCGCAGTCTGTGGTTGTTAGTGCCAAACATTAGTCCAATTATGGTGTGCGGTGGCTGTCCATGTAAATATATTTGACATGATCAGATTTATAATTTTGTTATTTGAATATTAGCTGAACTTGATTTAGATGGTTAGAGGATTTTATTGTTGAACCACACTACGTCCTAAAAATAGCACTTATTTTAAATTGAATAAGATCAACAGTTCTTCCTTGCTGGTTAGGGCACCGTCCGATGATGTTTTTTTATGTGACAGGAGGCAAACGAGCAGACGGATCACCTGATGGTGATTAGATGAAGGATGAAAATGCTTAGGTAGATGTTTAAATATGATCTTAAATGTTCCATGACTCCAGATTCTTGTACTAGTCACTAACATTTGCCCCCAGTGGAATTCAAACCCGCAAGCGTTGTAACACGCGAACCACCAATCCTCTACAAGGTCGGTTATTTACAAAATACCATCAATAGCAATATTACTGACATTATTTTCAACCATATCACCTTGAATTAAGGCGCAAAAATAACCTGCTATAATATGTTAATAAATTCCGCTAAGTGTTATGTTATGTTGGTATTTATAACAGCTACATGCGTGATTCCAGCCTTTATGTAATAGATGATTGACTCGCATTGAAACGCAGTTTATATAATGAGGGAAGTCAGCATTAGCATGTTTTAATTATTTATTCGTCACAATTAACAGCTATATCAATCATAACAAATAAATTACAATTCTTGATTAGGTATATTCAATTTACTATTTCTGAGGTAGTTTTAATTTAAAATGAAACTCTTCTCATGTCTATCTATTGCGTTTTCAATTTTGGTTAAACCAGTTACATTAAAAGATATTTATAGAATAGGTGCTTTTGTTACAAAAGTAAATTAAAAAAAAAGTTTTATGGTGAAATTATAGTTTTTAATTTGACCTAATTGAAAACTTAGTCGTACTTTAGGCTTTGAAAATTATAACGCACTTAAAAATAAGGGAATTTCAAGGCCAAAGATTAATTGACTGCTCAGGGACTCGAACCTAGACATAATGATCATTTGTACGATGAGTCACTAAGTAAGCCTATGTAGTTGCAATTTGGTAGTAGGATTAAATTAATCAGTTAGAGGTAAGATAGCCAGTTCCTCCGTGCTTGAGGATTCCGGATGAAGCTCGCTTCCACCTTCGGCCTAATCATCTCTTACCATCAGGTGAGATACAAGCCAAGAGCTTCCTCGTGGTGGATAATAATAAAATAAAATAAAAAAACACTTTTTAAGACAAATATTTTTTATTTACGCATTGACGCAATATTTCTTCGTTTAAGAAGAAATGGGTATGCCGAAGTCACAGATGTATTTTTGTAGATATCCGAAGTATAGGCTGGGGGCTTCTGTCAGGAAGATTTCCAGGAACAGCTGTGGAAGGTTGGCTAAGAAGGCTGTGTTCACTTGTGTGACTACCGGCTCTGAAAATATAAAAAACACGTCAAGTACGAATACGGATACTGTGAGTGTTATGTGTCGTGGTAACATCACTAGTGGTAGTGTAACAAATGACAATGTGAGGGTAGTTGAAAATTTTCAAGCCCGCCCGAACGGACGACGCCGCGAGCCGCCAGTCTGCTTGTGTCCACGGCTGCAGCATAGTAGCCGAAACGTCAAGCCGTGAGTACATAATGTAACTCATTAATAAACGTCGCGAAGACCCGTGTCTTACTATTTTATACAAAAACACCATTAAATGTTAGCACTTTAGTGTACGGCACAGGAGGACTTACAACCCGGTCGAGTTAACTGCGTACCAGGCGGCTGTGACGTCACAACGACGCTCTGGTACGGACAGGGGTCAGGGCGAACGCGGGGAGGAGTGCGGTAAGTGGGAGGGAGAGTCGCATTCTAAAGTGCGCAGTTAGCTCGATTGGGTTGTATTGTACACAGCATAGACTGCACGACGCACAAGTGAGTGAAGTAGAATATTTTGAAAATAATTTTCAAGTATCTGCTGCAAGAAGTCCACTGCATCTCCAAACTACAATGTTTTTTTTTTAAATCAGATCTTTGTCCAGCACTGGACGTCTTTACTTTGAAAAGGAGTAGTTTCCTGGAGTCAATATTGTAGGCTGATTTTTATTCTTCTTTTTTAGGGTTCCGTACCTCAAAAGGAAAAAACGGAACCCTTATAGGATCACTTTGTTGTCCGTCCGTCCGTCTGTCAAGACCCTTTATCTCAAGAACGCGTGAACGTATCAAGCTGAAATTCACATAAAATACTCAGGTCTATTGTCCCTTTAAGCTGTGAAAATATCAAACTTCTAAGCCAAGCCAATCAAAAGATACAGCCGATTATGTCGATATTTTCAACAAATTTTCGACACTCGCAAAGGAATCAAAACCTACAGGATACTTCCCGTAAACTCAGAATCTTGAAATTTGGCATAAAGCATTGTCATATAATGCAAATATAGGAAAAATTGCGAAAATTAAATTTTTTTAGTTATATAATATAATAAAAATATTTTAATAAAATGAAATTCTCACGAACGAATAAAGGTATCAAATTGAAATTTATACCAAATATCTATTGTCCCTTGAAGTAAAAAAATCAAACTTCTAAGTTAACGCGATCAAAAGATACAGCAGTTTATACCGACACCTTAGACAAATTTCCGTCACACGCTAGGGAATCAAAACCTACAAGGTACTTCCTGTGAACTCAGAATCTTGAAATTCGGCACGAAGTAACGTTACTCGCAACGGAATCAAGTAAGTAATTTGATTTAATACGTCATAAATTGTAAACCGCTACGTTTGTACGGCGGAACCCTCGGTGTGCGAGCCCGACTCGCACTTGGCCGGTTTTTTTTTTGTAAACAATATTAGTAATTTGTATTGCACGTAATACTAATAAGTTACGTAATACTAACGGTTCTGGTTCTGTTAACCCCTCGTGCTAAGGAGTACTTAGGTTCACCACAATAGTCCATCGGTGGCGGGGTTCGAAGAGTCGGCTAGTCCAACACCGACATCGTTGGCCTGTCAAAATTTGAGAATTTTCATCTATTTTGTGTTTGCAGATTATACTTACGTGTACTCCCTAGAACTCTTGGTCCAATCGCGGGAACAGTAATCGGGTCCGATATGTAAGCCGTGACTCTGGATTGCTTGAAGTCGATGCCTTTTTTGAGTGGAATCACAGCGGTCAGTGTTGCAGCTGAAATGAAAATAAAAATTAAGAGTATTTTAATTAAAAAGGAGTTACATGATTATGGTCTAATATTTTTGTAGACAAGAGGCGTGGAGATCTATGATGAATTTACTTTTGAAAAAATAGTTCATTTATCAGACTATATTCTGAACAAATTAGCCAATAAGATTAGGCTAGCTAAATATTAATAAAAATAGCCCTTGTTAAACACAATGTTAGCCGTTGCACAACTCTACTGATAACAGAGGCTTATTAGGCGTCAGGTACAAAACTGACTATATGGTTGCGGCGTACTGACGTGACTGCAACGTGACAAAAGCAAAGTGATAGCCGTAAGTGTTTGTAAATGGCCCACAAATGTTGAAGCAACGGCTGTCAAATTGTACAAATAAGTCGCGGTCACGTCGCGCTACAGTCACGCCACTTTCATGCTAGAAGCTTTAAAACCCTTACAAAAGGTTGCGTTGGTGAAGTCAGCTCGTTTGATGGGCTCCTGTCCCCGCCGCTGGTAGATGAAGGTTGTGTATCTGGAGTCGATGTTGATGTTTTCGAAGTCCACTGACATTATCAGGTTATCGGTCTTCTTGTTGATGCTGCAAAATAAATATTGTGTAAAATATCTCATTTCTCAGTCATGGAAAAATACTAAATATCAAATGTGTGAACAATTGCATTCGGAATGGCCATAAAAATATAGTTTCAGCTCTTTGAATAGTAAAAATAACTTTAAAACAACTGTGTAAATAAATGAAATAAACATTCCGGCAATAGCATTATTTTTAGAAAAAAATCAAATTAAAATTCGTTTATTCGTGGAACATAGGTAAATTACATATTACAGGTGTTAAAAATTAAGTAGTCGGTACCACTATGTTTGGCCCTTTGTATGAAGAAGAAGAGATTTAATTATGTAGAGCACAAATTACTAGTACTCTTATTTCCGTTAACCCCTCCAGCTAAACGAAATACATGCTCGTTTATGAATGAGTTCACTAAAATTAGTCCAGCAGATTTCAAATCGGCAGTTCACTGGCACCGTTTTGTGATTTTGTCGCCTCAATGTGTATCAAATGTGCATCAAACTTACTAAAATCTGTTGATCCTGTCGCCAATGTACTTTATTCGAGTCTTGGTCACAATAAGGGTTAAATTGAACCCTGGCAGGTATACCACTAAGCGGTCTCTGTACACAGGCTTGCGGCCATAGTTGTGAGTCTCTTTGCATTGACCGCTGCTTGCGAAGTAATGGCGGATGCAGTCGATGTCATCTTCGAAGTCGCACGGATAGTATATCTCGCAGTTTTTATTGACTTGGTTGCCAATGTTGCTAAGATTGCCTTGGTTACCAAGGTTGCCGAGGTTGCCAAGGTTGCCCTGGTTTCCAAGGTTGCCAAGATTTCCTTGGTTGCCGAGGTCACCAAGGTTAGCTTGATCACCAATATTTCCAAGGTTTCCTTGGTTGCCAAGGTCGCCAAGGTTGCCTTGGTTGCCAAGGTCCCCAAGGTTGCCTTGGTTACCAAGGTCGCCAAGGTTGCCTTGGTTGCCAAGGTTGCCAAGATTTCCTTGGTTTCCAAGGTTACCAAGGTTGCCAAGGTTGCCTTGGTTGCCATCAATGCGGTCTCTATCAACGCACTCTATGTCATCGCGTTCATCATAATATGGTCCATTGCGTGTGTAATAACCACGTCCTTTGTCATCATCTAGAATTATTAGATAACATTTAAAATAGAATTTTAAAGAACATTCGAAGTAGGTACAGTGAACAACAAAATAAACAATAAGCTTATTCCATTGACTCATTCGTAGAACTAAACCATAGATTTTCTGTTGTATTCGGTTTTGCCCCATATGAGAGGTTATTAACCGGTTATTAAAACACATATTTGTTTAATATACGGCTAATAATGATATATGTATTTTCTTCAATTTAAGCTAATTTTAATTACATACTAAACATTTCAACTTAAAAAAAAAATAATTTATCACAAATGTATTATTTTAATCTTATAGATGTAATCTGTCACGAAGATTGAACCTAAAACCTCAGAAGTTAGAATCTTCATGAAGGCTTTAGATTACTTTTGTGAAATAAAATAACCTTATAAAAACTTACCGATCTTCGCATCTTTTTTGTCACCTCCTCCATAACACAAGCCAACAAATAATACCAAATAAAACACTTCAAAACGCATTTTGGGTTTGTTCTGATTCCATAAAATCATCTCAAAGCCTCTGTATTTATATCGATACTCAAATGATAATCAGGTGTTAATTGGATAATCGTTCATCAAGGCACCGAAATAATACATTGTTCTGAATAAGGGCATCGGAATTAACATTTAATCACCAAGACAGTGATTGATAGGTCATAATGTAGTTGGTTAACCCTTCAATGATCGCGGTAAAACAATTAAAGGTTTTTTTTAGTTGCTACACTATTAGTACGGTGTTTTTCTTCTTTTTCTATTGCGTAGGATGTATCTTGTGATTACTTAGTTTCGTAATAATCTTCTGACATATCATTAGAATCTGCTATTAAAAGTGCCCCTTATTATTATAATTTCCGATAGGTTATGATTAGGAAAATGCGCAGGCACAATCATAAAGTAGATAAAAATATTATTAAAGTTTCTTGTGTATTTCTAGGGCACATTTAACTTTATGTAAAGCATTATGAACACGTTACAAAAAGAAAATCAATAAAATCTTAATTGCATATAAATACGAGTACGGATTTATTATACAGGATGTTTGTTAGAGGGGTACAAACTTCGCAGGTTCTGATGTAAGTTCAATAGGTAAGGTCATTTTGAGAATACAAAGTCGCCCACTTGATCGCAATTTATTTTACAAAATTATATTTTAGATCATCTCTTATGAAGAAATAGGGATACCAAAGTCACAGATGTAGTGTTGTAGATACCCAAAATAAAGGCTGGGGGCTTCAATCAGGAAGTATTCCAGGACTGCTTGAGGTAGATTGGCGTACAGCGCTGTGTTGACTTGTACGACGATAGGCTCTGAAAATATAAAAATCTTTAAGTTGTCAAAAGTGGTTCTACAAAAGGAAATACAGTTTTTTTTATTTTGTAGTTTTCATCATCAGGTCATTATTTTAGTCTCCACACTGCAGAAGAATGACCCTTTTTAATTTACCAGAGGCAAATGCAGGATTTGGCCTACACTGTCCACGGTGGCCAAACGGGTTGGGGAGAAGGGAGGTTAGTAGCTTTACAAGTCCATTATCTTGACGTGTTTTTTTTTGCCACAACTGACGAGCTCTTGGCCTACGTCTCAAGTGATGGAAAGTATTAGTGCCGTAAGTTTTTGATAGTAAGAGAACATACCTGTGCTGTTAGAAATCTTTGGTCCAAAAAAGGGTGGGATGACGGACGGTATGTAAGCCGTAACTGTGGATTCTTTGAAGTCTAAGCCATTTTTGATTGGAATCACAGCTGTCAATGTTGCAGCTGAAATTAAATGATTAAGTAATTAAGTAATTCAGTGCCCACAAGACAATCAACCTACCACGTAACAATAAATGCTCAGTCAACCAAGACCTATCATTCATATGGGACCATATGCAGTGAGGGGTTAAACTAAATCTATTGAACTAATATTTGGCTAAAATAAGTTGGAAAATGTGCTATTAAATTTTTTTAAAAATAAATTAAACTAGTAAAATCTAAATGCCTAATATTTTAGAGTAGGCGCACACCGTTGATTTTTCGTCGGCCGATAGTTTAGTCGGGCAGTTGATCTGTATGGGCATGTATGGGAGTGCGCACACTACGCCGATTCGATTTGGCCGATTCTTCATACAAATTAAAATCGGGCACAACTATCGGCCAACTAAAAATCAATGGTGTGCGCCTACTCTTAACATTTTACTGTAGGGCTAGCACTTACCACAGTCAATACCTGAGGCATGGGAGCGGCACGGGATGGTTTTTTAGTAACGTCAAACGTCAGGGAGACTTCAGATCTCCTTCAGAATGATATGTTTTGTCATGTCACAATATGTCAACGTGCCCCTCCCGTGCTGTTCCTATACCTCAGACACTGACTGACTGAGTTAGCGAGACCACTAGTCCTATACAGGGTGTTAGGTAAATGGGTATATGAGCCGACACTAGCCCATGTTAACATGGGCATATAAATGGTATGGTGAAGTCAGAAAATTGATATCTTCATTTTAATTATTTTAATTTTCATACAAATCGGATTTTATAAAATTTATTTTGTATGAAAATTAAAAAATTAAAATGAGTGTCGGCTCATATACCCATTTACCTAACACCCTGTAGAAAAAAGAAATATATTTTTTCTATCATGTCTTGCGTCTCACATGGCTTATATTGGATGACTTACGGAAAGTCCCATTAGTGTAGTCAGCTCGTTTGATAGGCTCCTGTCCCCGCCGCTGGTAGATGAACGTCGTGTATCTGGAGTCGATGACGATGCCTTCGAAGTCCACAGACATAATGAGGTTGCCAGTTTTCTTATTTACACTGAAAAAAAAAATTTTGAGTATGTAATTCTAAAGCCCGGTCTGTGAGCACGTAGAATTTTGTCCAATGACCCCTAGCTACCCATCATTATCGCTCGCGCGTAATTATAATATTGCCGTCACGACTGTGCGACTGGCACGCGCAGTGAGTGTGCGAGCGCGATAGCAACATAATTACGCGCGAGCGATAAGGATGGGTAGCTTGGGGTCATTGGACAAAATTCTACGTGCTCACAAACCAGACTATAGTTATGATAATATAGTTTCGTCGTTTAATTTGTATTGGATTGATAAAGAGGCTGACAAAAGTGAGTGAGTTTCTCCCGCCACTTCTTCTCAGAACCAGTCCATAAATGTTGTCCCGAAGTGGTGGTAGGGCAAGCTATATTTGGGACGTGTATAAGTGGCTTGAAAAGGGCCGATGTACTGAATAAACTATTTAATTTTCATTTCATTTGCTTCGAAACTTTGAAGGCTTCTGCAAGTTATAGCTAGTCGAATAAACTGTTTTTTATGATGCAGTGGATTCTGGTGGATGCTGCATGTGCCATAAATTGGAAAACAATTTAAATTGGAAGTGTGACTGTTGGCCTTTATCTACTCTACTTTATAAATTGTGTCTGAAATAAACTTACTAAAATCGATTGATCCTGTCTCCAACATAAGTCAGTCGAGTCTTCGCCACGATAATTGTAAGGTTGAAGCCTGGCAGATATGTGACTAAACGGTCTCTAAACACTGGCTTTCGATAATCATTATCAACTTCTTTGCACTGCCCGCTGCTTGCGAAGTAATGACGGATGCAGTCTATGTCATCTTCGAAGTCACACGGATAGTATACGTCACAGTTTCTATTGCTTTGATTGCCATTTACGCGGTCTCTATCACCGCACTCTATGTCGTGATTGCTATCAACGATTTGGCTGTCGCCATCACCGTTGTCGTCTTGTCCTTCGTTATCTGTAGTAGATATACGAGAAATGGTTTTTAATTTGATAGGATTTATTAAAACTTTTGTAGCATAAAAAAACTGCAATATGACCCGTAGGTTAGTTTTGAATTAGAATTGATTGTACTGCGCAAATACAACAACTTTTGTGTAGGAATATGCACATTCTCAAAAAATATTGACGTCCCAATACTAATCGGCTGAATACTGATGACAATTCGTATGAAAAGGTTTTATTTTTGGAATATTTTGAAGTTCCTTCTCTGAGAAAAGTTATTGCATTTGAGCTATAGAAACAATCCTCATGTTTGATGCACCACCAATGGGTTACCCTGTATAAATTATAACTATAATTTACCTACATATTGTATCACTAACTACCCTTAGTTGAAGGATTTTTTTAAAGTAATCTGTAAAAGGGTTAATAAGAACTTACTGTTTTTGCTTTTTCCATTTCCTTCTCCACTAGCACAACACAAAGCCACTATAAACAAGAAAAACAATCCAAACTGCATTTTAGATTTGGCTGGACTCTGTGAAAAATTAACCAAAGTTTTGGTATTTATACTACGTCAGAATTAGGTGCTAATGGATGATCACACGCTAATTGCAATGATGTTATTGTTCTGAATAGGGGCATATCAATTACTGTCTCGGTGATTGATAGAATAATGTAGGGTAGGTAAAGGTTTATTCACACTACGATTACGTAAAAGGACGGGCCCCACACAAAATACCTTTATTTTATCCAATACTACCTATGTACCTACTATACAGTGTGAGTCACGACAAAGTGCACATATGAAAATATGTGAAACTAGACCTATTTTTATCGACAAAAAGAGGTCTAGTTTCACCTATTTTCATATGTGCACTTTATCGTGACTCACACTGTATAGACATAATACGGAACCCCTATTGTGCGTCTATAGATGACAAATTTTTAAACTTATTATTTTCTTTTTTCTTGCAGGTAAGAAAGATCCTTAGTAAACTATGTACCTACAAGTAGCCAGTGCGTAAGTATAAACAGAATTTTATAATAGTATTGTCGGTTTCTATGAAATAAAAGTAAAAGGTGCAATAAATTCCAACGTACTATTGTAATTCCAAGTATTCATGTATTCCATTAATAAAAATAAATACGAATATAGCAACAGCGCTATGAATAAAATAGCAGTTTATACTTTCATATTCGATTTAACGATGTGTAAATTAATACCTACCCACTTAATAAAAACAGTGAAAATGAGCTATAATTATTGGGAAAAAATAAACATTCACTAACACGAATCGTTGGTGTTAACTGCTTTTATATGTATCAGCAGATTTTCTGCTTTTAAGGAGTAATTTTATACATTTCTTTTTATGGTAAAATTCATAATGATTTTTGTGTGGCAAAGAGTATTTAAAAGCCAAGAAAATAAGACAAATATTATCAAAAATCGTATTTTTCAATAACTTGTTTGAAAATTATAATTTGTCATGTGTTTAAAAATTAATAAATAAAAAATTCATAGATTTGGATTTCACTACCGACTGGCTTTTTAGTAGTTTTAGGATTGGTTTGCATCAAATGTCGCGAGTTCGATGAGGGCACAAGATTTGTGTGCATGAAATACACTTTCTATGGTTTTCAGTGTGATTCATGATATTATGAGTACTATTAATGTTATGTGATTTTTTAGGTTTTGGATTTATCCCTAAATGAAGTAATTGAAACTGTTTAAATACAAATCTCATTATGTAAAGATATGTACATAATACTCATCGCGTTCTGATTCACTTGACCGTATTCGGTATGAAATCGTTTGTAACGCGTTAGAATTAAAGCAATTATGTTATTTTTGAACCTTCAACTTGACAATTGGTTATAATCGTGGTTTCGCAAACATTTACTTTATCGCCCGTATTCACAAACATACTATGAGGTCTCATAGTGCGCGTGGACGCACAGGATGACACACGAACTAGTCACAGAGCTCTATTCAACGCTGTGCGTTCGATTTGCTGCTTCACTTAAGCAAGCATCGTTTGTGAATACGATTGTATATTACTATGAGGTCTTACAATGCGCGTGGACGCACAGGATGACACACAAACTAGTCACAGAGCTCTATTCAACGCTGTGCGTTCGATTTGCTGCTTCACTTAAGCAAGCATCGTTTGTGAATACGATTGTATAATGCGAGTAGTATGACATCGAAGACATGTAGCATATTTTTCTTGTAGCAGCAATAATGTATGTTAACAGTCGTATTTTTTTATTTTATTTTATTGTATTTTTCCTTACAACTATATATAAATCCGTTTTAATGAAATGAAAGTTCCGGCCAATTAAAAATATAATAAGTCCAATAAACAAGTCATTTAAAACCGTAACCGTTTAATCGGTAAATAAAAAAATAATAGTTTATAAATACATTGGCAAAATGTGTATACGCCTGAAAGGGTAGGATCAAGTGATACTCTGTAATTAATTTAAGATCTTTCTGTAACCTTGTTTCTATACACAATAAAGAACTTACTTACTTACTTACTTGCAAATCTATTATAAGGCCTAATAAAATGTATTATAACAACAAGATTCAAAATACATACTAGAATCCGCTTAGTCGCTTATACTTAACAGTTCCTCCGTGGTTGAGGATTCCGGGTGAAGCTCGCTTCCACCTTCGGTCTGATCGTCACTTACCATCAGGTGAGGAGATACAGGCCAAGAGCTTCGTCGTTGCGGATACCGCTTTTAGCGATTTATATTTTTGCTTTGGTTGGTTGATTTTTTGAAAAATGACGTAAAAAATTACTTCTTTTAGTTACTAACTTTTATTAGTACGACGTAATATCATCGTTCCCTTGAGTATCGTTATAATAGAATTCTACTGTACATGTTTTTACAGTCACATTAAACATTGTAGAGGTAAAACAAAACACAGAATAAGAATTCGCGGAGAGACTTCCGTCTAAATTTGCATATTTTAAAAGTAATTCACACCTGTTCCGGATCAAGTCCGCGGCAAGTCCCAACTTCCGGGCGCTCACCCGACAAGTGCCCAGGGCTGGCACACGCAAGGAATAATAATAATTAATAATATTCTAATAATAATTAGTCATCATCATCAAGTACGCGGCAAGCAATCTATTCTAATGTTATTTAATCGTAACTTCGTAATCCTCATTAGGTAAAGCTAAAAATATCAATTCAGAAACCCCCACTTTCCACTACTTTTGTAAGTTACCAGAGACAAATGGAAGATTGTAAATGGGAAAGTACGGAGTTCTGTCTGTTGATGTTACCTTTTCACCCATAAATCTCTGAATTAAAATGAAATTGATACTGAGAGTTTTAGACCTTGGGAAGGATAAGTGGTACTTATCCCAAAACAAAAAAGAGTCTCTCAATGATTCTTACTGAAACTTCACTAGCGTGGATTTTGGGAAACCTTTACATTATGTTCCAGGGTCTCAAATTTTATCTAAATCTGTTCAGCGGTTGAGGCGTGAAAAGCTAATAAGGCAAAATTACTTTAATCATTATTTTCATCATCATTTCAGCCACAGGACGTCCACTGCTGAATGTAGGCCTCTCCAAATGATTTTCAGATTGGTAGAAAACGGCTCACATTATGTTCCAGGGTCTCAAACCCACCAATTTACCAATTTCATCTAAATCTGTTTAGCTTTATTTTAAAGTTACTTTAATTATTATTATCATCATCATTTCAGCCACAGGACGTCCACTGCTGAATATAAGCCTCTTCAAATGATTTTCAGATTGATTGAACGGTTCAACGCTAGCTTCTTTCCGAAACTTTCTGAGACAAAATTTCTCTATTGCACAGCCCTGACGCTCCAAATCACAAAGCGACGGCGACGCCACCTAGAGGCGTTGGACCGCAGAATTATCTGCTCCCGGGAACTCGATTAGACGGTTTTATTTTTAATTAATATCATTTTGTGGAATACACGACCGAGGTGTGAAATGAGAGGATTATCTTGATTGTTTTCGTTATTCTATTACGAACGTGTGGTGTTATTTGTGATACGCTACAGTGTTTTGTTTCTAAAATACATTTATTTTCACTGCTTTAAGGTATTTTATTTTGCTCTTAATTTCATATTTCATGGTGTGGTCCACTGCATCATGGGACTTAGGCTGTGTTGCACCATCTTACTTTAAATTTGACAAACGTCAAAAATCTGTCAAACTTCTTTCAAAAAACACCGGTTAACGTTATAGTTACGGTCAAAGTAAGGTGGTGCAACTCAGCCTTATTATAGTAAAGATGCAGCGCAAGCTCAGTTTATAACTTAGCTTACTTCTTTTGAATAAGTTTTCGAGATTTTCTAGGCCCCTTCTATTCTGACTTACTACACCTGCATTCACAATCATTACTATGAGGCCTCAGAATGCGCATGGACGCACAGGGTCCCAAAGACCTATTCATAGACAATACTTGAGTGAGTGCAAACCAATCACAGAGCTCTAACCAACGTTGTGCGTTCGACTTCGCATAGAGTTGCTGCTTCAGTTACAACAAGTATCGTTTGTGAATACGGGTGTTAGGCTATTAAAGATTTTCAGCACCTTAAAACAATACATTATAGTATAACCTGACCAGGAACATAAAAACCTCGCCATGTTGCGGAAAACTAATGGTACTAATTTCTTTTAATGGCAACAGTAACTGAAAACTTCATTGACATGTCACCTTGCATGTCAGTCTATTGCTCTCAAAGTGTAAACAAACTTTATTTTAAATGTGTGCAATTGATTTTGTGAAATAAATTGCTAAAATATTTTTATAGTCGTGAAAGAAAAGTGGTTCACAATGTGTTAATGTATTTGTCGAAGAGAAATACCAAGGGTTCGGACAATATTTTCATTGAATAATGTTTCTGACAAAGGTTGTCAAATTGACTGACATGTTTATCGTATAGTACAGTCCACTATGAAAATTAGCTGTAGTTTGTTTCAACTACCTATTTTAGTTTTTTGTCACTTTCTAAGTTTTGAATTTTATGGAATTGGGAAAGAAGTACCGAGTTTGAAGCGTTCATGAGCAGACATTGCAGTTGAATATTCAAGTTCTGAATTTGATTATTGATGAATAATAAAATAAATCCTACTAGCTCGATTGATGGTTTCATTTCATTTATTTAAACCAGGTTACCTTTAATAATATTTTTTCGTCAATTTATAAAAATATCAAATTAGCCCGTAATCCTGAATCCTGATACATAAATTTAGCCTAATAATTTAACACAGGTACGACTGTACTCAGTGTTGCACTATCAAATGCAATTGACGCGCCTCTATGCCAGGGTTTTTATGTTCCTGGTCAGGCTATAACAGTTATATCAGTTACTGCTTAAATAACTTCTGAATACAGAATACTGAATTTGTCCAACAGCTATGAAAATATTTTAGTTAAACATTATTCTAAAAGCAGTTCCCGTATTACATCGTCGTATCAGAACAATCCTCATCATTCTCCTACCTTCATTTTAATAAAATAACTTTATTAAACTTCTCGATTCGTGGAAACCTTTAATAAAATCATAAAGAAGGCTAAACGTGTGAAAGTTTGGCATATTGTGCCGGGGTGAATGGATGAGTCGTAATATTAAACCGGGGCCGCACTCAATTTCATGAAAAAACTTATAAACGCCTCTTACATCGATGTTTGAAATTATTGGATAAGGTAACCAGTCTTATCTCTGTGAAATGAAAGTCATTAAAATTCACAACATATTTATTGGCTGTTATTTGATTGACTGAATATATTTTATTGACTTGACTATTATTGTAATTATAATATTGCCCTCTATTTTTGTTTTAAACATAAGGAACAATGCTCTGAAGCTCAGAACTGAATGCTTAGGCTGATTTGCACCACCTA